GATATGCCGATATTGTTCACTTAATTTCCTATTCCAATGTCAACCCATACCAATATATATTTATTTTATTTATTATATTATTAATATTTATTTATTTATTATTTATTACTTATTTGTACAAACCACTGTATGAGTATGAGACAAAACAAATGCTGCCATCTAGTGACTTTCACCTTAATATACAGCCGTTTATGCCCAGAACTATTTTTAGGGCACACATCATTTGGCAAAACCCAGGCATTGGGTTATCGGGTTTTCATTATCAAAGTAAAAAACGATCAAAATTCTTACAGATATTACATAATTATATCGGTATATTATCGGACATCCCTAATTTTTTTTTTTTTTTTTGTACATTGAACTCACAGCATTTAGGTATGTCACACAGCTCCCAGGTCAGCTGCATGTTCCTGAAGGTGTGGCACCAGGGGCCTTCATCACCATCTGGATTCCTGTGACATTCAGGAGAAAACTCACAGGTTTAGGGCCTGCTCTAAAAAATCCAAGAGTGAATCTCTCTTTATCATTGGAAACTTGGTAGGGTATTTTACCTGCAGGACTTGTGACTGCCCAGACCCAGCTCGAGGGCATCTGACCTCCAGGCGTTGTAGAGCTTCCTCTTCAGAATAGGAGAGTCCCATGGGAGACACTGAGAGCCACTCTTGGTGACAGACTTCGTGCCTCTGTATGCTTGACCAGAGCTTCGGACACATTCTTGGTATTTATCTGACACACAGAGGAGAAACGTGTTTAACGATGTTGCTGAAAAACAAACACAAACGTGTGTTTTTCTGCTGTTTAGTGAAAACCTTTTTTTTACCTTCTGTGCACTTGGGCAAAGAACAGAACTCCCACACGATCTGAGTGTTTTTATAGACGTAACACCAAGGAGTGTTGTCACCGTCAGGATTCCTGAGGATTGAAAGAAATGTATTGCGGTGATCAGTTTACTCAGTATACCACTGTAGCAGTACACACACAGCACCTGTTCACATACCTGCAGAAGTTGTGATTTCCCAGGCCCAGAATGCTGGCGTCTGCCTTCATAGCTGTGAACCGTCTCCCTCTCAGAGATGTGGCGTTCCAGTTAATGCATGCCGCTCCAGTGTGGCTGATGCTCCATGACCCACGATATCCTTCACCCTGGCCCACAATGCACTTCTCGTTGTTGTCTGTTGGAGGGAGTGGAGGGAAACCAGGTTAAACTCAGTAGAACCTGATTTAGTTTATTCTAATCAACTGAAATCCTTTCCTCAGGAATTATTATTGTTGTGCTAATAAAATACATTTACTGGATCTGGAAAAAACCTTTATGAAAACATTAGCATTACTTTCATAACACAGTGATTTTACAACATGTGTCCACACGGCAGCTTTATCAGAGTTTTGGCAATTAGTGGTTCCGAATGCTGACCAAATGTAAACGTTGTTGGATTTATTGAGTCTTCCCGGCGTTAACTCATTAGTCTTTGGCTAGAATGACTTGGCTGTGGCCACTGGGGTTCATATAATTATCCCACTGAGAGGGTGGGGTGTCCCTAAAGCCTGACATTTTAAAACATCTTTCCACTGTTTATGATACTTTCCCTTCATCGTTGTCCAAACCGCGGGCCTGTGACAACTCTGAGTGCGTCAGGCAGTCAGAGTGTGACCTTATCAAGAGTCACAAACAGGTTCACACACTGTGATAGATATGGAATATATGTCAAAGTAAGGCATTGTGAATAAGGTCTGGTTTCAGATACAGGACTGAATACTTGACCAGCCAAAATGTGGTCCATGTGGGCCTCATGTATTTTTGAGAAAAGGGCAACTTGTGGCCCACACAATTTCCCTGGCCGAAACATGGCATGACATTGGTCGCATGTATACTCTACTTAAGACATAGTAAATACTTAAAAATTAAATGTCTATATAAAGTAATAATTAAATAAACACGCTTGTTTACATGGCTAAATATGTACTTAAAAAAGTACTAAAAATGTACAAAAATACAGAGAGAGTATAGAGTATATAGTCCTTTTATCTTAACCTAAGTGCAACAATTCTCACCTACTGCTAAATAAAATCAACCATTTTTTTCCTGCAGGGGGTGCTCTGACCTTCTAGACAAAACTAGGACAATGGTTAACCAGAAGTCTGGTGCGCTATACAGCATCGTTTTGTAGAAATACACACAACAAAGTTGATGTTAAATGTTATTTACATTTATATGTACATTTCTATATGATGTGTACATTTGACACTTAATCCCTGCATTCTTGTCTCAAATAATGTTACAATATGAAAAAAAAAAATACAGGGAATTATCATAATATTATCATAAACATAATCAGAGATTTTTACACCTTGGCTAAATCAGGCTAATCCTGCTAATCCGAAGTTAGCTACGTCTTCTTTGTTTGCTAACAGTGGTTTTGCATCTTTTGAGTTGCGAATGTTTCTGGGTATATTTTCCACTTATTAATATAATTGTATCTGATTAATAACAAGGTTGATTTTATACAATTTAAAGGTTAATTTTTAGAAAAAGATATGTTTATCTACTTCACCTTCTAAATTACAGAATGTTTTGTTCAGTACTTACTGATCTCACACTGATTCCCACTGAAGCCTGCCGGACACTGACAAATATAATCAGAGGTGTGTACGGCCTCCTTACAGAGTCCTCCGTTATAACACTGGGACACGTAGCAATCTGAAAAGGGCAGACAGAGCAATTGAGTCAGACTTACGTCACTTAGTCCTGGAACACAAACAGTTTGAACAATCAGAATATAAATGAATGGTCATGACCACCGGTAGAGATCGGCAAATTTGTGGCTTTGGCTTTTTCGTGTCACATTAAAATCAAAATCTAATATATAATATATAAACCTTGATTCTCTTGTTAGTAGTAAAACATTTCATAGCTTCACTATAAAAAGATAATGTCCTGTTGGTGGTTTCCTGCCAGGGCAGAAATGGTTTTATGCCTCCACCAGCCTGATTTATCATTTATTATTTTAACGTTTCCTAAAGGCTGGCGTTCACAATAACAGCTCCACGCTCTCTCCCAGCCCTATGAGCTCACAGACGGTGTGGGAAGGAAAATGTGGTTGTAATTTGTCTGAGGGAGGAGCAATGATGCTTCACAGAGTTCCGTCAAAGAAGGTGAAAGTGTGTATGAGGGCAGCTCTGGCAGGGGAGCTCGAGACTAAACTACACCCACTCACATACTCAGGAGCCCAGCAGCTCTTCATTTGGATGCACTGAAATAACAGTGATCTGGAGCCAGGGCAGCCAACAAAAAAACAATCTTCTGAGGTTTTTTCGAAGCAAGTTAGAGGTCAAGTGAAGGTATAATGAAACACACAGAGGCCAGTAGGGGAAGACGAACAGACTGGTACATAAACTGACAACCATAGGAATTATACTGCTAACAGAAAAGTCAGACAGAGAATTTGGGAAACGTGGTTCAGCCAGTCCATGTAATTGATTTTGTAAGAAAACTGTGAATCAAGGAGGTAGGTGCTGTTTAACAGAAAAAACAGATGATTGTGCAGAATTTAAAATAAAATGAAGCATTAAGATAACACTATGAATATAACATAGTTGCATGAATGTGTAATTATTGTAAGAAATGAATAAATACAGAATTATGTAAATTTTAATTTGATTAATATTATTTGCATGTGTACCTGAGTAGCTATACAGAATTTTAGAAGTACTACTACTTACTTACAAAGACATTTTGCAGTTCCCCATGGAGAGAGAGAGAGCATTTTGATGTTCAAGATTAAGTTTGTAGTTCAGATTAGCGTTCGGGTCAGATTAAACATAGGGCAAGGGATTACCAGTTCGGGTAAAGGGCTAGGAATCTATAAAACCCATGTGTATGTGTGTGTATTCATCACACTCACTGGTGACAGGCACAATATGACAACGCTCTTGTCCTCCTAAAGCACAACGACAATACTCCACACGCTGTCCCCTCCATCGTAGCCAAGTCTCCCGATAACTACGCACTGCCACTCTCTGACTATCCACACATGTCACTGAAAACAAACAAACACACACAAACACACAAATACATAGACAAAAAGTAAGTATGTTGCCAATCACTGGCCATGCACAAAAACAACATGAAATTACATGTAGAAGCTGCTAGAAACGTAACGCAGCAAAAGCTAACAGAAGACACAAACAGGAACACAATGACTGAACACAGACATGAGGATGATGAAGATGGTGATGGATTGAAAATGAAAACAAAAGTGTGATGGGGCTCACAGGAGGTTTCAAAGGAAGACGTAGACTTCTGGACACGAATAATCAAAAGTGCCGACTTAGCTGGATGCCTGACAGGCTCACCTCTGTAAAAGCGAGTGCCTCTCTTAGAGCGGAGCAGCTGCACCTGCAACACGTGAGCTTCAGTTAGACACAGAGCAGCAGAGGACGGTGAGGCAATGACCGAGGTGGACACAAGTTGGAGTTTACTTTACTTAGATTTTTTTTCTATTCTTTCCAAACTTAAAAAAATACTGCCTTAAATTATACCACATTACATTATATCATAATTATAAATTATAATAGTTTCAGAACAATAATATGACTAAATAAGACACAAACACTCTTTTGAGGAGTGCAGTACTCACATTGTCCGCTAGGCACCAGCAGAGAATAGAAAGTAGAGTTATCAGTTCGAGTAGTCTGGTCATGTTTTCCAAAGTGGTGTTCAAACAAAGTGGTCTTCAATCTGTTGAATGAGGATAGAATACATATCAATTTATATACAGTTCTCTACAGTATTCTAACAGAAGGTCAAAGGTCAGAGGTCTCATCTCCATGACATCTTAATGACACATGGTTTATATACCTAAGGCAGGTATTTCCTTTTTGTATGACTGTCTATGTTCGTGTCTTTTGTTATCAGTTTGTCATCAAACCAGAGACAACAATTGCAGGAAAACAATCCACACTGTTTGTCTTCCCAGCTGCATGGTTTCTCGGTTCAGATTTCTTCCGGCAACCCCACACCCTAATTTGAAAGTCTCCCATCGGGGGGAAAACATATACATAAGTGGAAAGGGTGTGGAGCTCACGAGAGAGTCAGTGAGTCCAACATGTTTATTCTGTAGACTATCTTCTACTTCAGTCATCATAAAACCCTGTCAACCAACACAATTAATCTGCTACGTTCAGGGGGGAATAAACAGGAAGCAGATTACTTTTATGTACTAACACGAGATGCTGACCACCACATCAAAAAGCATAACCTGATGAACCGAGGAGGGAAGGGGGGGGGGGCACATACAGCAGAAGAAATTGGGTCAGCATTCCTCCACCAGACTGGCAGAGGAATCAAACAGCTGCAAAAGGACAAAATGACTCAGAATTTGAAAGTAAAAAAAAAAGGGGAAACATTACTGGAAAGCCCAGACTAAGAAAAAGAAACTAAGATCACATTTTCCTGTTTAGTTTTAAGAAAAAATTGTTTCCTTTTCCTTTTTCACTAGTTGAAATAGAGGTATAGGGAAGATGGATTGTTGCTTTTCAGTCATGCGTGAGTAAACATGAGTCATAAAAGGAAGAGGGGAGTGGGGTAGAAGGAGATATCTTCACACAATCAGAAATCAAATGTCAACTACTCCTCCACATAAGGAACTTTAAGACCATTTAAAAAAAATAATTCAACCATGCAAACTGCAGTATCTGACATCCATTTAAACACCCGGGGCTTTGCAGCCAGGCCTGCAGACTTCTATTCCAGGGCAGGTTTTTATAGCCTCTCCATTGACTGGTTCTGCAGTGACTCACCTTCTGTGGTCGACTGAGCTCATAGAAAACAGCAGGGTTTGATATATCAACGAGGTAAGACAGCGAGGCTGGCAACCACACACACACAGACAAACACACACAAAGTGTTCAGGAACGTGGAGCTAATCATCAGCCTTCTACAAAGTTTTACTGTTTTCTGCTCATTGTTTAATGGAACAAAGATTTAAAAGACATAAATGCGTTCACACACTCACCATGAAACAAACTTGTCCCTTTAACAGCTAACCTTGCCTCACACAGAGACAGACAAAAGCACTCTAGTTGACCTTTTTGTTTCCTTTGTGCAGCTGTTCCCTGCGCTGCAGTCGCCCCTTTCTCCGGCCCTGTCAGCTACAGACATGTGTTTCCTCTCATAGCATGCGCCTCGTGCACAACAGAAATGCGTGCAAATATCTACACACCCAAACACACTGACATGCACACATCTAACATCAACATATGTTCATCCCACCCTTAAGACTGTGGTATCTGACATGCAGGGGCCCTGGCTGGGTGCAAGTTCGTCCTCGCCTCTCATGAAACCCCCATAATGGAAGTTGCCTTGTTTTCAAATGATTAGGTCTGTAGTCAAGTATTAAGTTTTAAAACACCAAAAGTTGTTAGTTTTATATCACAAAGTGCTAAACTTTCTATAGGGGCCACAAGGTCACAGTCTTTAAATGGTTTTTACCTATGTTTCTATTAGAGCAGTTGATAAATAATGCCTGTTAGAGATAAATCTTTAATGATATTATGTAAACAACAGTAATATAACCTCTACACAAAAACAATGTGAGTCAACATAGTGTTCTAGAATTTTCCCAGGCAAACAAATGTAACAAAAAACCCTTATTTATATTTTATAGGTCACTAGAACTGCATGGTGGTGTGTTCATATAAAACTAGAGTACAGTCTACACTCAACAAGTATTTTCTCCTGTTTTTCCAAGTTGGGACAAATTTTGTGAAATTATGTTGTGTTGAATAGACCCAGTAGCTGGCAGTAACACAAGACATTAGCAGCCAACTAAAACCCTAAGAAGAAGCAAACTCATATCCATTGTTACGCTATATATTACATAGCTAAATATATCGTAAAAATATTCTTTTTCTTGATAGGATACTAGGTGTATCCCTTAAATATTCCTGTGTTGACAGTACTACACCATTGTTTCCCAAAGACTGGGTCGGGACCCTCAGGTGGGTCGCAAGAGATTATTTTTTTGGGTCGTTTCGCATCATGTTTCCCAGGAGTTTAAGAATAACGTCTATTGACTTTGGTCATGAAGGTTGGTGACTTTTAAAATATGGATCCCCAGAAAAAAAGTTTGGGAAACACTGTGCTGCACAGTCATACTAGGATGCTGTGTCTGACTCAACAGAACAATGCTTTTCCTTGTTCTTAAAAATTCAACTGATAATTACTACGCTGCCTCCACAAGATTGATGTGCAATCCTCTCCTGAACCATGAGTGGTGGCCCACCAGCAACAATTGGGTTAAAGCTTTCGTCAGTTCCACTCAATCTGCAATTAGTTGAAACATGCACGAGCAAGAATGTATGTCTGGGGAGAGTGTGGCTTCTTAAGATAGAAGTTCAAATATGAATGGAAGAAATTAAAACATCAGCAGACGGTGAGTCAACTCCACGTTTTCAAGATCCACCATGTTAGTGTATCCAGTTAGGGGTCTGCTCAAGATACATAAGAAACGTGCATACAATGAACACAAGATGCTGTGACCAAAACTAAGAGTTAACAGCTTTCCAGCAAGGCTACTCATTTCCGATGTGTGTGCTACAAGTGTTGAATCACTGACATCTTAGCTGTCAGGTCTGAGGGCCATTAGCGCACATGTGTAATGATGAGAGCGTGCTGAGGTTGTAAATGTTTGAGGCGAGGTATTTGGACTTCCAAGACCAAAGACAAAAAGGCAAAGACTGGAGCAGCAGGAACTGAGAGACCAGGCAGAGGAAACATAGTTGCATCTGACTGTGAAGTTCACATGCAGAGTGGACTTCACAACAGGGCCCGTGCTACACTTCCTGTCATCTACACAAATAATACTCTACAGTAAGGGTGGGTACACCGTTAACAACTAAGAAGAGAAACTGGAATTTAAAAGTAGCCTTTCATTTTCTACACTTAGTTTGGAGTTCCTCCTTTTCAGATTTCCAGCTCTTTTTTTATTAAGGGAGCTTTAGCTCTAAGCTAAAAGTGATATATAGGCATTACTGAGCACTCATCAGTCAATCACGGGATCACAAATAGAAAAAAATATACATGAAAATTTACACCGGTGGCCAATTTTTATAATAATCCTAAAGCTTCACATGAGAATAACTGAAGAACGCAGAGAGAACCAACCCACACACAGTAGGTGGAACATGTGCAGGTGCTGTAAGGCAACACCACTATGTCAACCTGCAGCCTGTCACCAAAATAATTACCCTAAAAGCTTCCTGGGATATTTTGACCAGGTTAGTTTCCATCACATACTTGTTTGAACTTCTGGCAACCCCTAAAACTTAAGACTTTGAAACTTCTAAAAATGACAAAGAGTCTTAAAAGGCTTAGGGTAGGTTTTAGTGTTTCTTAAAAGACTGCGTGTTCTGACGTGTGAGATCTTGCTGATTAGTAAGCTAATTAAAGGGTACTTCATTATTGACTCAACTTTTTTTCCATCTGCTCTTCAGGAATCCAGCTATGATGTGGCACTGAAAAGTCCCACAGAACAAAGAGCAGCATTGTTACCCTTCAGCTTCCTTCTGTGCACAATATGATTGCTGTAATCCATATCAGCAAACTCATACTAAGAAGGAGGTGTTGACATTAGAAACAGGCCAAAATCAAGAAGATAAGGCAACAGGGGGAGAAAAATTTGACAATGGGCAGAGTGATGGGATGGGAGAGAAGAAAGCACAAGAAAGATGGGATAGAAGGATGAACAAAAAAGAAATCAAATCCAGTGTGTCAGCAGAAAGAGGATGAGTAGTCCTGAGTCATCCCAGCTTTAAAGCTGGCAAGACTGCAGAGACACAGATGAATGTCAGAGACAGATGGAGGCACTGAGGGTTTTAACCAGAACTGCGACCTTTGAACAAAGTCTTAACCCATACATTAAATGTCACTTAAGAAAAATTCAGTTACTAACTCCCAAGAAACCCAGTGGCCTTTGTCTGATCTGCACAATGCCCAGACTGACCTACTAATCATTTACAGCTTACGGAGTGAAAACCACTGACTATGAGTCACAAACAACAGTGTGAGGCGCTGGCCCAGCTGACCAGACCACAGGGAATTTAGATAATTGATCGAAACTAATTTTTTTTCTCTCATTCACGCAACAGTTCAGATACAGTATTACTCTGAAGAGGAGTGTCAGACAAGAATCCAGCTCATTAATTTGATAAGAAGCTGCACGTCAGCGAAGCTGTGCAGAGTTTGGCTGGAGTACTGCACAGATACGAGCGTACCATACTGTACACACACATGCTGAGAATCATGGTATTATCGCATGGATGTTCCTAGATAATAACTCACAGCTGAGTAGAACACAGTATCACCAAGTTCCTTTGTCTTACCCAAAGTACTGTACTGTAACACTGTGCGAGCTCGTCCTGTACAAAGATTTGCCCTGATAAAAAAAACAAAAACAATTCACTCCACCTACTTTAGTAGTAAGCAAAGCAGGGTTATTAACACCCCAATATAATTAGGGTAGTATTAAAATACCCTAATCGAATCTAATTTCATGTAAGAACACTTCAGATACAGGCACAAACGCATCTTTGTAATGAAACTTTAGTCTTATTTAGTTTGTTTTTCCCATGTACAGTACATGAAAAAGACAGTTTTTACAACTTAATTAGTTGATTTAATTAGAGTTCAGATAATGACCCAGATTAATTGGCCGGAGCCAATGCCAGCAATGGGTGAGAACAGGGTACAAAGCTGCACAGTTCTCCCTCAAAATGCCACATATGAAGACAAAGACTTCCATTTACACCCACAGTGAATCTGTTGTTTTAGAATCACCTAAAATTGTATTTAACTGTTTTCAGATAATGGTATAAAACTAGATTTCCAGTATGTGGTCTCTTTCCCCAAAGTACTACATCTTGGTGTTGATCTTACTTGTAGGGCTTCTGACTATTAAATACTTGCTATTAAATTAAATACTGCAAATAAAACAAACTTGATATTTTACCGTGCTGAAAAATGTTTTCTTTTCTTTGGTACAGTTTTATAAAACCACAAAACTTAACAGTGACCTAGGATCGTTGCAAATTGCTGTAGTAGTCGATTAGTCATCAATTAATAAGGGATATTCGCAGACTTAACCTACAGTTAACCGAATAGATTTTTTAATTTACAACTTAAATAATAACCATGCAAAATAGAGAACAAAATGCAGAATGATGCTCTGATGATCCCAACGCGGGCGGAAACAAAAAAAAGTGATGGTGTTCCGTCTGAGGTAAAGACACAAACAATGAGATGTAAATGTTAAACATGAAGGAAACTTGTTCCTACCTGATATAAAGACTTGTACAGCGGTTACTACTCAGTCTGTCAGCCTCTCTGGGATCAGTCGCTCTTGACTGCACTGGCATATCTGTGCGAGTCCAGCTTTTATCGCTCCGCTCCAGGAGGAGGAGGAGGAAGAGGAGACAGAAAGGGGAGCAGAAGGAGGGAGGGGTCCTGTGACCTCAGCAGGGAAGTGAGGCTGACCCGGCCGGAAGATGAGGATGAAGACCGTGATGATTAGGATGTAGCAGGGATGGGTGAGGCCGATTCCTGACGAGCGGTGCCGGGTGACGATGCACTCGAGCTGTTATAGTAGCCAAGGTTACAACATTAACGGGGCACTGGACCGAATGAAACCTCTAATATTTGAGGGTTTTTTGCTCGATAAGGGTTTCCATAGAACATTGATAATTTTTAATATAGTGATAGTCAACACTTTTTTGGCAAAAGTTACTCGGAAGTTAGCCTGCAATAGACAACAGTTGGATAAATATAGCTACATTAGCTCGATAGCTAGGATAATTAGCTTAGCCATAGCTAACATGAAGAAACGTTATTTAAAGCATACGCTAATATATATCCAAAACAAAAATACAACTTAGCTTAGAATACATTTAAAATTACAAGTTAGATAGAAATTGGCCAAAATTCTAGACCATATTGAGGAACAACATTGCAACATGATAGCCAAATGACGTCTAAACCCAGAGTGATGTAAATACAGGGGGTTTTAGATTACCTTCAGTTTCCAGATTTCAGATACATCACATTTGTTATTGAACATATCAGACATTTTCAGCTCAAACCTATGTGGACCATATGGAAACCTGCAGTGTGGCATCGTACCAGAAGTACTTTGCATGTGCTACCTCTTTGAATGTCCATCCTTCCTTGTTCGAGGATGACTGGATGTCTGTGAACTGCACTGGGATGCATTAGGTCTTCAAAAAAAAAGAAAAAAGGAAGAACTTGGTGTCAGACAACACCAAATAACCATTTGGCACCAGGACTAATTTGTTGCAGCCGCTGTTGTCATTATTCAACCCTTCCCTTTTTCAGGAAATTAGTTTAATTTATCTGGAAAACTGTTACAACCTTGAGTGGAGCAAGTGGTTTTATTTACTGTGGATAACTCATGTTCAAGTATTTTATTGCTTGCTAAGTTAGATAGCACGGTGTCTGTCTTCTATTTGTTTGAACATTCACACAAACGTGAACCTTCAGACAGAATATACGTATGTATTCTGTAATGTTTATCTTGACTAGTAGTCTATTAATGATGAGTAAAGGTACAAAGGTATTTATTACACCAATTAAGAATAATATGTATGCACCGATCAAAAAGTGGTTATTTTTTCACCCTAAATTGACAGTACTGTAGATATAAATCTGAGAGTAAATAGTTGTTTACTTCGACATGAAACTCATTTGGTGTTACTATGAGCAACCGTTTAACTGAAAACTACTGCTTTTGTCAAGATAAAAAAGGATATATATAAACCCTATTTTTTTTGGTGTAATGATATGTAATTAAGAAAAATATTTAAACCAAACCCAGAAACATAATTGACATGAATACAGTGACATTCTTTCATTATGAGCTTTCATTATTTGTCGTAAATGAATTCTAAAATCTTAGGAGGATGTCACTGTTTGTTGGGATAAATAGGATATTTTCCATTAAACACACCTGGGGATGTGGGTCTGACAGAGACGTCAGCAAAGGTTATTTCATCTTAAATTCATGGTGTGTGTACGGATGTTTTATCTGTGTTGACCTCTTCCAAGAAAAGCAAATGTTGCAATATAAAAACAACATTGCTCCATCCAGAAATTCTTAAGTGCTTCTATTCCAAACACAACATCCGTTACTATGTTGATCTTTCAAGAATTAAGTTCCAAGTGATACCACTGGCTGCTGAAAATCCAAAATAGCCTAAGCCTAATATTGTGCTTTTATATCATATTATTAACAAGTACTCTCTCTAAAAATCTTAATTGTCATAAAATGACTATTTTTTAGGGCATCTTTAAAGGATTAGGGCTAGTTTAAAATGACACAGAATTAGAACGACATAGTAATTCAATATATTTAAATATGTATCCCATTATGAAGGACTTTGAAGTGAATATTTTAAGATGAATGTTTTTGGAATGTCTGTGACGATTTTGGGAAGGGATTTCCAAAGAGAGTCAGCGTCGTGAGTGTCTTGTTGTAACCTCCGACCACTGTCTGACCACTGCCTGTCACCACCTACTGTGTTATAATCAATGGAAATTTGCAGCCCTGGCCACAAAATTAACCATTGACTATCGGACACATATTGACTTCTACTTCTACTATTTTTTTTATCAAAAAAGAATAAGAAAACAAATTAATGTACATAGACTATTTGTCCTGACTGTGTTATTCAATGACTCATGTGTGATCATATCTGTATTGTATTAATTGTGATTTTTATTTCTTTTACTGCAAAGGTTTAAATTGGATTTCAGCATTGTTTTTTTTAATAAAGGGATTATTATACTTACCCTAACCCTAACCCTATCTATGAATTTCCGAATAATCTGATATAATAATCCAATATATTGACAATTATTTATAAATGTTACGATGTCATTTACACAGTAATGTGACGTAGTCAGACACCAGCGTTGAAAAGAATCTCAGAATCCCTTGTAAAGATGAATGTCGTGTATTTCTATATTGTTTCTGTGTAAATCTTTTCTGGAGAACTTCAGAATAATTTCGCAGCACATTTCGCAGCATTTCACTCAGTGGGCGGGGCCTCGCAGGTTTACAGGAAATGTTCATATCAGGAAGTAGAAAGTTTTTGAGATTTGTTGTGGCTTTTTTTTTTTTCGTTCGTCGCCCAAATCTATATTTATAAAATATAAATTTTAACATCGTTGAAGTGTGGCGACCCACATTGTGTTATAACACTTTGAGGGTTAACGATAGATGCAGAGTCTAAGGTAGGTTTGACTCGTGTGTTTTCATTTAATTAAAAACGAAAACAGGGGCAGGTCACACTGTAGACAGCAGCAGCAGAGTCGGGTTTTATGTTTAAAGGTTCGACTAGGGTTTCAATAAAAAGCCTTTATTTAAACGCGGAATGTTAAAAAAAACACCCTGATCGTTCCCTTTACTTAACATCAGCTTAATGTTCTTTTTTAACAACATCAACACATTAACAAAAACTGTGGTTTTCCTTCTGTTTAAATTCTATTTTTAGTCCATGTATAACTGTTGTATTGGTTTGTACATTATATAAATTAATGTTTGTTTTGTTCAACAATTACCGTAAATGTAGAGAGTTCTGAGCTAATGGATAACCGTACAAATGACTACGACAACAAGAACTGCATTTTCACTCTAAAAGAAAATATGACAAATATATAAACACAGACAATTTAAAATTTAATTTTGTCTTTACTAATTAGTTACTAAGCTAAGTTACTAGCACCATGCTGTGTAATGCATGTAATTCTTAATAAAATAAATTAATATCAGAGAATTATGTATATGAATAAATATATATATATATTTTTGCAATCTGTCACTTACAGGATGTCACTTTCTGTACTATCATTAAACTGTTCATTTTCTTTAATGTATTTCTCCTCATGTGTGAGAATAATGATGTATTATCTGAGAATAAGGTCATTTTATCATATATTAAATGCACAATGTTATATAAATTGTATGACAAGCTGTTGTGAGCAGCCCTTATAAGTTCACCAGGATCAGATAAGTGTTGATTCACCTTGCTCTCCTCTGTGGTGTTTCGGATGTAGAACCTGCTGAAGAGGTCATGAAGCCAGTTCATCTGCAGCAGCCACTGATCTGCGGGCCCTGGGAGCAGAAGGAGCGACTGGGCACTGGCGGTTTTGGAAATGTCACAAGATGGCAGAATAAGGTGCAGGATTCATCTGTGACTGTAACAGTGGTGGTAAAACAGCTGTAAATCCATGTGAATTGAGGCCTGCAGGCATTTCAGCAGATAACAACCCTGTCATCACACAAGCAATTAACGTCAACACGAGAAATCATGCATATCAAAGTTTGTCGTTTCAACCGTCACATAAAGCTAACAACAGTAAACCGTTTAACACAAGCATCTGTAACTTTACAACTCTTTAATGATACTTTTTGTAAATGAGTAACATTTATGTGTTTTTCCAGCTGAGTTAAGTGTGAAAATATGGATAGAAAAAAAGAAAATCATCATCCACATACGTAGCTGTGGGCTCAGACAAAGTGTTTTTTTACATACTCTACACCTTTTCTTGAAAAACAATTAAGTTTTCTCAGCTCTGAGGTTCCCGTGCCAGGTCCTGTAAAAATGGCGCCTACTGTGATGACATCAGTCTAACTCACAGGATGGAGTGCATCATGAGAACACAAACACACCTGCTGCCTGAATCGTCCGTTTCCGCTTTTTTTTTTTCTTTCATACGCCTCTGATACCACTCACACAAGAGCAAATTACACACTCTTCAAGCAGAAGTTTTATGAGAAATGATGACAAGTTTACTGTTTGTAAGATATTTTCTCTTGTAGTTAAATACGTTATAGATTATTTTCACATATCTTATCCCTAATAATGTTTTAATATTTAAATTTGAGCTAACACCACTACCAACAACAACAATTACTATTTTGATGTGTTACAGTATTAATATTCTACCCCTGTAGTAATAATAATATTAACTATTATCATTGTTAGGAGTATTATAGTTTTAATATAATATACACAAATACACATATAAATATAAGTATAAACTTTTCTTTGTGTCCCCCACTGTTATTTAAAGCAATCCAGGAAGTGGTATTATTAGTTAACAATTGAAGTATTGTTTAACTGTTGGCACAGGGCTGGTCAGTGACACCGCTGCAGACGATAAGAGCGACGGAAATGAGAGGGCACTGCTGCTGCCGTGATTACTCACTTCCTTTTTTGGGAAATTTCCGTTATTCTTAACAATTATTGGATCATCGTTGATTGAGATTACTTTATAGGAAGAAGGGCGTGTCCGCTTTACTAAACGATGTCATGAGAAACAGGTAGTGAGATGTAATCGTGTTTGCTCATCACTTTGTTAACTCATACACACATATATGCAGTGTGCATTGACTCAATGGGGTTTTTTTTTCATTGACTACAAGGTAATTAGGTACACAAGAAAACAATTATAAGATCCATCAGTAAAAGTGGTTTTGTAGTAGTGGACGTACGCATGTTCTAAAGACGTGAGAAAGACAGAGGTCTATGTGGTGATAAACATAATATAAATAGAAATCTAAACAACACTGTGTGTCTGTGTGTGTGTTTGTACCTCCAGGACACGGAGGAACAAATTGCCATTAAGCAGTGCCGTCAGGAGCTGAGTGAGAGAAACAAAGAGAGATGGTGTCTGGAGATCCAAATCATGAGGAGGTTAGTTTTACATTCATTTATACCCTGAAGAACCCAAGACCAAATATAATGTTTATTCCTTTACCAGTACCGTATTTTCCGGATTATAATCTGCTACTTTTTTCCCACGCTTTGAACCATGTGGCTTATACAAAGATGTGACTTTTCTATGGAATTTTCTTCAACAATCAGCTTAGGTATATAAATAAACATTTACGGTACAAAATCTTTCTGTGTTCTTGTGGATCCGGTAAATATCTAATTTCTCAACCTGGATATCAGCGGCTTATATTTATATATTATATATATATATATATATATTTATATATGTAAATTTATAGTTGTTTTTTTTTTTTTTACTTAATGGGTGCGGCTTATATTCAGGTGCGCTCTATAGTCCGGAAAATACTTTTTTTTTTCATCAATGTATAGCAGAGGCAGGTACGTTTGGGGGTTCTGAATACAGAACATGTAAAATTTACACAGCTTTAAAATTGGTCAGTTGACAAGGCAGCGCATTGGAATGGATTAGATTAGGTTCTGGTTCTCTAACATTCTCCCTGAGTTCTATTTTGTAATATTTACACATGCTATGCCCTTTTACAGTACTAGTAAATATAAAGAAAAAAAAAGAAAAAGAAATCTTATTTACACCTTCGTAAATACGTAAATAACTGCATTTTAGATAAAACTGTTGCTGAAAGATAGTTACACATTTTAAATTACAATGTTAACATTTCATGTCTGTGGAAGTTCCATCACTGTATTTTGTGTTGTTTTTCTATTTTTTTTTTACCTTATGTCGTGTTGGTTTAAAACAAACAACAAACAATCGCAATGTGCAGATTTACTGAGCTGAGTGCGTGTTTGCTTATATTAAACATCAGGAGTCTACTCCTAATGCAGCTGTGATTCACCTTAAAGTGTGACACACTGGTTGTATTTTTTTTTTTAACTCCATGATAGAAATTTCCTCAAAATTGGGTTCTTTCCCTGTTTTTAACATCCAAACTTTCAGTCTTTGCGTCAGTTCTATTCTGGCCTCAGAGGAAATGTTTTGGTTCTGGATTCCATGACATGGGAGCTTATGAGTGTGACTGTTAACTCATCATCTCTGCGTGTTTTTTCACAAATCACAAACCCTAAATTTGTATCCTGAAACAGTAAAACTCACACAAGACCTTTAATAATGAGAACAACATGGTTGTCTGTGTTATTTTGGTCTTTCTATGGCTATTTCTGACCCGGTAATGTGCCACTGCTGCCGCCTCTTCATTTCACTCCAGTTTGGTGCGATTCATTTCCACACATCTGTTTAAGCCTATTAACACCTTCTGTTTTTGTGTGGGGTTGGTGGTTGGCCCTTCTGTCATATTTGAACTGTAAAATGAGCACATTTTTTGTTATTTACTGGTAGATTTAAGGTCATAAAAGCATTTATTTTTCGTGTCCTGGTTTAACAAGTGTGTTGTTTTCAGACTTCCAGAGCCACAGCTTTCCCATGCACCCACGCTCAACTCGTGGATAAACCACAGGGCAGGGGACACATACAACCTACCATTATGTTATTACAGCTACTTAGCACAGACATATTCATCTACAAACAATAACAATATTTTTAACTGCTGACGTGTTTATAGAAAATCTAATGGGTTTGTTGAATTCCGTCTCAGATGGTCTATTGGCTTGAGGGATTTAAGTTACGGATTAGATCAAGTTTCGGAATCCTCAAAGATAAAAGATGTAAGATAACATTTTTAACCCAACTGAAAGGAAAACTGTTTGTACTTTTTTCAAGACACTGTTTAGCTGTTTTGTAATTTGACTTAAAATATATTTTTTATTCATCACTCCTAAGACTTAAATGTCAACTTTCACTGTGATATTCCCACAGCATGACAGTCCTATCTATCTGTCTGTCTATCTGTATATCTGTCTGTCTGTCTATCTATCTATCTATCTATCTATTTATCTATCTATCTATCCATCCATCCATCCATTCTTCCATCCATCCATCCATCCATCATCCATCCATCTATCCGTCTATCTATCCGTCTATCTATCTATCTATTTATCTATCTATCTATGTATCTATCTATCTATCTATCTGTCTGTCTATCTATCTATCTGTCTGTCTGTCTGTCTATCTGTCTATCTTTCTGTGTCTATCTGTCTATCTCTATCTCTAACTTGGAGGACATTTTTTTGCAGTCTCTCTCCAGACATGAGCAACATTGCTGTGGCAAAAGAGTTTTGTCTCATCTGACCACATTATACGTTTTTAGTTACCGTACGTGTCATTGACGTCCAACATCAGTGATTACACATAATCTGTCACATTTAGAGGAAGTCAGGGAATAGGCAGGAACCAAGCGTAGCATCCTCAGAGGAGGGAAGTACCAGGCTACCAGTTGAGACCAGTGAGACTAATGAACAGTGAATGACAGGGACCAGGTGAGTGTGATGACACTGATGACCACAGAGACAGACAGACAGACCTGACATCTTCCTGGTTATACTGTAGTCAGTTGTCTTTCTGATGATATTTGGAACAAATCCATTCATTCTTTATCATGGTAGTTACTAGTTAGCTCGCTAACATGTTGTCCCCAACCTTCCTCTCTTAAAGTGCTCTACCATCCCACACCCTCCAAGAGAGGCGTGCCTCACAACTGTTTTACAGGATTGCCATATCAATGGTGCTGTGGCTCATTTATAAGTTCACGTAATGTCGTTTTTTAAATTAAAGGAGGTATGATCTGAAAATGTTTCTGTGTACAATCAGAACATTCCAGGAAGTTAAATGCAAATTATATACAAATACAAAAATATGTTGGGTTTTTTTCTTCAAAACTTTGAAGAAAAGATTTCACCATTTGTAGCATGTGAAAATGACTAAATGCTGCTCTTTTTTTCCAGTTTTATTTTTTCACATAGAATCATCAAATCCTTGGTTCTGTTTTTCTGTTGTAGTCCTCTCATTCTTTGGCTGACAAAAAAGCCAAATTCTGTCGTGCCATGCACCAACATTATTATCATTCCTGTGAAAACCATCTTTCATCTGTGCTGCCACAGCACAGAGATTTATATTTGCGACAGTGTTGTTGTTTCAGTGTTAGTCATCTTTCTCGTGGCCCTGGAATAAATTTGAGTTTGTTATTTTCATTTTTTTTCTTGTGTTTTCTCAAAGAGGATGTTGATGTGCAACAACCAAAAACACAGTTTAAGTCAAAGATGTGAAGATAAAAAAGGATAAATAAACCTGAATACAGAGGAAAAGAAAACTCAATGTTGCTTCACTTTTCTTCCATCCTTAAGACGGATGTGTCTCACTGACGTCTCCTGATCTCTGCTCACTCAGGCTGAATCATGTCAACGTTGTGGCACCCAGGGACGTTCCTGAAGGGATGCAGAAGCTGGTGGCCACAAATGACTTGCCACTGTTGGCTATGGAGTACTGCCAGGGAGGAGACCTGAGGAAGGTACTTCACCAGTTTAATCATATGATGCTTATGACAGTAACACTTTCTGAATCGTGAAGTCATCCTGACTTTATTCCAGTTATATGTGTGTGACTTTATAATGGAAAATATGACTGTAATGGCATTGGTAAACAAATTAGCGTTCCTCTGTTCTGGAGTATCTCCCAGTAACTCCTTCAGTGCCAAACACTGAGGTAAATTCTTATCCGTAACACAAGGGGGAGACAGTCAGTGAAGTGGTACGACTTTAGTCTGGCTTTGTATTAACATAAAAGTTATATTAAACTAACAAACTTTACTAGTAACCACAGATCCAGGTTATTCTGGTTAATTCTTCATTTCAGAATTGGCAGCTATTCTTCTTTTATTAGTCAATTGTTGCCGTGGTTACATACAATAAAGACACCCTGTGGTCTCCAGATGGTGTTCCTGCAGGTAATTGTTCAATGGGTTTTAACAATTTTTGAGGCAACAGCAAACTGTTTAAAGTAACTATCCATCCATTCATCCATCCATCTTCAACCGCTTATCCGGGGCCGGGTCGCGGGGGCAACAGTCTGAGCAGAAACACCCAGACTTCCCTCTCCTTCGACACTTCCTCCAGTTCTTCTGGGGGGACCCCAAGGCGCTCACAGGCCAGCCAAGCGACGTAGTCGCTCCAGCGTGTCCTTGGTCTTCCCCCAGGTCTCTTCCCAGAGGGACGGCACCCGAGCACCTCCCGAGGGAGGCGTCCGGGGGGCATGCGATGTAAATGCCCAAGCCACCTCAGCTGACTCCTCTCGATGTGGAGGAGCAGCGGCTCTACTTCGAGCTCCTCCCGCGTGACAGAGCTCCTCACCCTATCTCTAAGGGAGCGCTCTGCCACCCTGCGGAGAAAGCTCATTTCAGCCGCTTGAATCCTTGATCTCGTTCTTTCGGTCATGACCCACAACTCATGACCATAGGTGAGGGTAGGAACGTAGATTGACCGGTAAATTGAGAGCTTCGCTTTTCGGCTCAGCTCCTTCTTCACCACAACGGACCGATACAGCGACCGCATTACTGCGGCCGCAGCACCGATCCGCCTGTCAATCTCACGCTCGATTCTACCGTCACTCGTGAACAAGACCCCCAGATATTTGAACTCCTCCACCTGAGGCAGGACTTCATCCCCGACCCGAAGGGTGCATACCACCTTTTTCCGGTCGAGAACCATGGCCTCGGACTTAGAGGTGCTAATTTTCAGCTTTCATGCTTTACACTCTACTGCAAACCGCCCCAGTGCATGCTGCAGGTCCTGGTTTGAAGAAGCCAACAAGACCACATCATCTGCAAAAAGCAGAGATGAAATCCGGTGGCTCCCGAACTGGACCCCACCCGACACCTGGCTGCGCCTAGAAATTCTGTCCATGAAAATAATGAACAGAGCCGGTGACAAAGGGCAGCCCTGCCGTAGTCCCACATGCACCGGGAACAGGTCTGACTTACTGCCGGCAATGCGAACCAAGCTCCTACTCCGATCGTACAGGGACCAGACAGCCCTTAGAAGAGGGCCCCCAACCCCATACTCTCGGAGCACCCCCCACAGGATACCACGAGGGACACGATCGAAAGCCTTTTCCAAGTCCACAAAACACATGTGGACCGGTTGGGCAAACTTTAAAGTAACTAGTATTTGTTAAAGTACTGACAAACTCATGTGTCCATGTCCATTACGTTGTACTAAAGTACCACCTTTTTTTCCTGACTCCCTCCTTTTCCTCAGAATTAGTATTTACTGTAACATGGTCACAGCCGGATGACATACACTTCTCTCTCTCGTCAGTTAACCATGACCAACCTTCCTCATAAAACCGGGCCTTTTGCATCCACCTCTACGCCCAGTTTCGTTGTCCGAGCCAGCTGGCTAGTTAAGTTGTTGTCTTAAGCCTGTCTCTAAGTTAATGAAACTCAATTGCTCACAGTTTATTAGGAAGGAAAAACCCCTGCTGCCATTTTTTTTTTAATCCGAAACCAACTAAGTTTGCAGCCTGAGGCGCAAAGAAGGAGAAGAAAGAGGAGGAAAACGCCAACCATCACAAACCGCACTGTCATAAAAATTTCAAAGCTTCACAGATGGTCAAAAAGTAAGCAGTCAAGTTGAGGGCAGATGGAACGGTTACTGAGGTCGCAGAGCAGAAAACTGCACCGTTCTCTTTTGTCAGACCTGTCGTGTTTTTTTCCAGCACAGGAAAATGGTAGTAATTCTAGCTAATTCTCTTCTATACATGTGTTTGTCATAGGTTTTTTAACTTGAGATTTGCCATTTTGTCCCCAGTTAGACTTTGGATGAAGCACGGCTGGTGTTTTCTACATTAAGCTGTGCTCCCTTCGTGTCTTCCTATGTGGGATTCTCATATAAATACAAAATAAATTATGTTTCATGGAAGAATGGAAGCACAGAAAGTCCCGAAACATTAGACAAGACAAATTCATCACAATTATATTTTTTATAAGGCCTGTGATTGCATTTATGTTTTTTCCCATGTGAATATGGATATAATTGATAAATCAAAGGTGTGTGTGTGTATGTGGTTTTTTTGTGTGTGTGAACTCTGTCCAGTATCTGAACGTCTTGGAGAACTGCTGTGGAATGAGGGAGGGCTGTTTTTTGATTCTGTTACGTGACATCGGTGAGTATCTGGCTCGGTTTCCCTTTTCTAATTACCTGTGATCATTTTTACTCTAGTGTGTTTGTGTTTGTGTTTGTGTGGGGTGTGTGTCTGTGTGTGTGTGTGTGTGTGTGTGTGTGTTTATTTTATATTGGGAGGGAAGGGATTGATTGAGTGAGCTGGCAGCATGATTAGTTTCCTGTAGGAGGACAAGTATCATGATATCACCAGTGACCGTTATCCAACAACCTCTTAGTCACCACAGCGACTCAGAGGGAGTTACGTCAATAACTGGATACACACATACACATATTTGCTTATATTACTGTGTGTGTAACAGTGCATATAGAGTAAACAGGGATAGAGAATGACAACATAAAGCAGAGTCACATAATATACACACGCACACACATACAAAGTCAAATACACACACCTTTTTTTGTGTTTCGTAACCACTTCACATAGACATACCGCATTCCTTAGGCCCCAAACTGAACTATTAAACATCGTCTAAACACTGTCTAATCTTGGTCCGTACCCCAACTCTAATCTGACCCATATTGTAATCCTAACTACAATTGAAATCTTAAACCGTAAAATCCCCCCTCACCTTGTGGGACGTACGAAACTTGAAAACTGTCCCCACAACGACATTGTTTTCCACACTGTCCTCACAAGTATAGTGTCACAGGTATGCGCACACGCACACATGAAGTCATACTGCATTTAAGGTGCTTAAACATTAAAATCCCTGCTTCGCCGAACTCTGCTTGACAGCGCACACACTAGTCACAGATTGACGTCAAGGTTTCGGTAGATTAAAGACTTAAGAATGTGTTTTATGTATGGACTGTATTTGTTAGAGAAATAACAATAAACACTGGGGTTTCAGGCGCCATTATGTCGCTCTAAAGGAGATGAAGTGTCAGTTCTGGCCCAGGTCCATGACTTTCAATGCTGTGGATCCAAACACTAATGGACAACAACAACACAAGGCCTCTCCCATCTATGTCACTTCCGTCTATAACACATCTGGTTACACTTCCAACGTCCAACTAAACACATCAGTGCTCATCATGGTCTTTTCTTAATGTTGATGTACTGTAACCAGTAGCAACCGCCATGTACTGCAGTAATCTCCTGACAGATCCAGTAATGTTGAAACAATTTTGAATAATTTAAATAACTGAACACAAAAGCACTTTCTACTGCCACAAGATTGTTTACCAGTATTAATACCATGTCAAGCAGCTTTTAAAATGGTACCTTGTCCAGTAACTTATATATTTATCAATATTTAACAGTAGGGTTGTTAAAAAAGTGATAAGGGTTCTTGTCTCAAATAGTGGGGTGGGCCCCCCTGGGGGGGCACGGTGAGGTACCCGGGGGGCGTGAGGGGCTTCCAATGGAATATGACACGCATATGGACATCGGTGTACCGCTGCTGTAATGCTTGAATGATAACAAGCCTCCAGTCACTAGGTGGCAGCAACTCATACAGTGGTTTGTACAGATAAAAATGTACACGTTATCAGGTTCTCAACAGTATTTCAATTCTTTGGGGTGTGGGTCAGAGGGGGGAGGCGAGAAAACAGTTATGTCCCCAAGAGGTGGGCATGACAGAAAATAATTGAGAACCACTGTCTTAAAGCAAGGTGAGCACAAGTTTAATTATAATAATATAAATACAATAATATACAATAATATAAAAACATTCATGTCTAATTCATGAAATCTACCAGTATTATAAGTACATAGTAGCACATAGGATAGGGCTATAAAGTTTTACTCTCTCAGGATCTTTTTTAACTTGCTTGCTAACAGCAAAATAACACAATGGCACTCTCCTCCTAAATTAAAGATCAGGTATTTGCTTTTACTTCACTCCAGGTTACTGTAGGTTAAACAACAAAAATTAGTCAACACTGCAGTACTGTGGCTTTAAACCAGTGTTTGCCAAACTTTTTTTTTGTGGACCCATATTTTAAAAGTCACAAACCTTTGCGACCCATGTCAATAGACATTATTGGTAAACTCCTGGGAAACATGATGTGAGACGACCCAAAACAAATCTCTTGCAGCCCACCTCAGGGTCACGACCCAGTCTTTGGAAAACAATGCTTTAGATTAATTTTATTTGGTCATAAAATAATAATAATTTGTGTCTCAGATTTCAGATCCCTGATCTGACTATACACATACAATTGAACGTTTGTTTAATGATTAGTTTCGTCAGTTATTTTAAGTAAACAGTTAATACATCTTAAATAGTAATTTTTAATAGTTTTACTACCTGGACAGTTTTGTTCATTGATTTGTTTCTGCACTTTTTATTAAACAAGTTTCTCTCGTTTTCTCGTCATTTCCACCTCAGCTTCAGCTCTCACCTACCTCCACAAGAAGAGGATCATCCACAGGGATTTGAAGCCGGAAAACATTGTCATCCAGCAGGGAGAGAAGAGAGTGAGTTGAGTTAATTCCCTGTGAACCATCTGCTCATGGCAAATACACCCAGACCAGAACAAAGTGGCCATAAAAAGGCTTTCTGCTTCTTTGTGGTTTTTGTGGACTCAGCGCTGAAGCTTCATCTCCCTCTCATCCACACATTAACACTGTTTAAATTGAAGACAACTTTGCTGCAGCAAAAACTTTAATGTGGAAAAACTGAAGCTCTTCCACCTTTCTTTGTAGTTGAAGGGAACCCTCGGTGCACTGTTGCCCTGTGCTCAGGTTCCTCTGTGAGCCTCCATTGTTTATGTAACTGATAATATCACCCTGCAGTCTGAAACAGGACTCGGTGCAACAAAAAAAAACTTACGTAACTGAGGACAGACATATTAAAGAGTTCACCTCTTCATACATAGTGGTGTGTTTATAGAAATCAAGTAAAAACAAACTTACGTGATTTACAGTACATGGAAACCTGATGTGTTTTCATAGCAGGTAAATTCATCATTTAAATATTTAAAACATAAGTGGAAAGTTCAAAGTGGAGTTGATTTTTGCTTTAGAGCAAAAAAAACTCAGTCTCAAATGAGCTGAGAGGCCTCTGCTGCCACCATCAGTTCACTGGAGGGCCACAATAAGGTACAATGTTTAGTACAAAAAAACCCTAGATATTCTAGAGCAGCGGTTCTCAAACTGTGGTATGCTTACCACAGGTGGTATGAAAGCGCTCTCTAGTGGTACAAGGGTAAAATTCATATTATCACATTTCCATTTTCAATTCAATAAATCTGAAACATACCATGTACAATGAATACAACATTTAAACATAAACATCTTTCTAAACATTTCTAAACATCTCTCCTGTGGTGGAAGCTAATAGTGAAGGTCTATGCTGCTGTATTCTAATGTTGGTCGTCATGGTGGTACTCAGAGAGATCAAGGTTTTCTCAGATGGTACAGAGTAGAAACAGTTGGAGAACCACTGGCATTGAGGTACTTCTACTGTGTTTACACAGTAAAATGAAACTAGAAAAAAAAAACTATTGATACAGTACCTAAGCTAGATGTGAGGGCCGGGGTCCACAGCCCTAAAGTTGTCCATGAACCTGGAGTTTAAGACCCTGGCTTGAGAGAATTCTGCTTCTTTCCAGTCTATTTTTAACAGCAAATATATCACTTATTTATATATGTGTCTCTCTTTCTGGCCTGACTCCAGTTAATCCACAAGATCATCGATCTAGGCTACGTGAAAGAGCTGGACCAGAGCAGCCTCTGCACGTCATTTGTGGGAACGCTGCAGTACATAGTGAGTGATTCAAACACAGCGGTTTGATACACGTTCTCAACCGTATTTGAGAAAAAATGTAGATCTCTAACGTTTGTCCTCCTGTGCTGCAGGCTCCGGAGCTGATTGAGAGGCAGCGTTACACGGTCACTGTAGACTACTGGAGCTTTGGCACGCTGGTCTTTGAATGCATCATTGGATTTCGCCCCTTTTTACCAACCTGGCAGCTTGTACCCTGGTAGGGTCACATGGAAAAATTCCACCCTAATCTCCAGGGAGGAAGTGAAGTAATGTTTTCCAAGAAAACCTGGAGATATTAGAAATAATTGTTAGACCTACAGCATGCAAAAGACGTTTTTTTTTACATAGTGAGAGCAAAAGCAGGGTAAAGAATGGCAGGAAGTGCCACACCTTCTGTCTCACTTTTCTGAAAAAAATATATGTGAGAAATGGCCCCAGAGACTGGGGTCACATGAACACAAGCATGTTTTACTAGTAAAGAAACACGAACCCAGCCTTTCACACAATGAAAAATAAAAAAAAGTTTCTTCTAGGTATTCTGATCGTAATTCCATAATGTGGCAGAAGAATTTTATTTTATTACAAATAAATACAAAGCAAAGCATTTTTTTTTTTTTTTTTTTTTTTTACAGTTACAGGATTTTGATTGTAAACACTGATTATGTAGCTTCTCTTCCCTTGTACTCCAGCAAGGGGGTGCCGTAAATGCTATATTATATTAATATTTGTATATTATATATAGGTCAGGGCAAGTTCACATTGTTAGTTCACATAGGGGGTGTTGATAAATTGGTTCATCACATCACATCCTCACATGCCTCAGTAAAAAAAAAAAAAGAGTTAAAGTCCCAGTCCTGACAAAAATGTATGGTCAAAGTATCAGATAATTTAATACATTTTTTAGACTTAAAAAACCCCATAAAAACAAACTTGTGTTTAATGTTTCTAAGGTGTGGCCCCAAAAACTGTGAATCAAAAAAACTACAGGCAGTGGGCAGAGATAAAAACAGCAGCATATGTTTAAGTGGTCCACATATGCAGTCCACTTATGCAGTCCGCTTAAGAGATTATTGTGTTATGATTCTACTCGTTCTTTTTGACAGTCTGTGTAAACCTCCTAAATAAATGTTTGATCTCCGTCCATCTAAGGCACAACAAAGTGAAGCTGAAGCAGGACGACGATATCGTTGTCTACGAGGATCTCACAGGAGAGGTCCGCTTCTCCAAACATCTACCGCAGCCCAACCAACTCAACAGGTGGCCTTAGCTGTGATCGACACCCTCATACCTACACAGATGTTGCTTCTAGACTCTTGTTTTCTCATAATTTTTTTTTCTCTTGTGTGCCAGTCTGCTGTTGGAGAAAATGGAGAAGTGGCTGCAGCTGATGTTAAAGTGGTCTCCTCAGGAGAGAGGCAAAGACCGTGACGGCAGCCCCGGCGAATGCTTCACCAAGTTGGATGACATTCTGAAGATGAAGGTGATGTGATGTGTTGATTCATTCCTTATCTCTGTTATCCCTCGTTGCATAAATTACCTCACAAACCGGAACCAGATATCCCAGTACCATTTGATCTGTGCTGCCCCCCCCCTCTGCCTCCGGCCCACATCTGATGCTACAAGATATACTGTAATGCATCTGTCTGTGCAGTGTGTCCAACAGACACATTTTTGTGAGACTGTAGAGCAGTGTTTCCATTAGGGAATTTTGGTGGCAAGCCCGCCCAGGCCCTCGACTCCCCACACCCATATGATACATCACTATTATGCTTACTTGTTTGTGAAGATAGAAAGGGCATCATAGATGATAATTTGACAGTAATGTAGTGACAAGAGCAACTTATTTCATGCAAATAAGTACAAATTGAAAAAGCTAGAGAAGCCAGATTGAGATGGTTTGGACATGTGCAGAGGAGGGACAGTGGATACATTGGTAGAAGAATGTTAGAGATGGAGCTACCAGGTAGGAGAAAGAGAGGAAGACCAAAGAGGAGATATATGGATGCAGTGAGGGAGGACATGCAGATAGTTGGAGTCAGAGTAGAAGATACAGAGAACAGGGAGAGATGGAAATCTGTCACGATGAGCCATCGACATGGCAGGAAGCAGGCAGGACCCAAATGCCGGACTGGTGGAGGTAGAACAGAGCTGAGTACAGCAACAGACTTGCCCAGGAACAGACGAGGAACAGCTACAACAAAATGCTCGACACAATGCTGGCATGGACACTACAGTGTACACAATGATTCCCACAAGGCCAGAGTGAGGGAGAGAGGTATATATGCAGGGAGCACCAGGTGACACAAGTGAGGCTAATTGCAGACACACAGGTGAGTGTGATAACACAGATTACCCCACACAGCAGACGGCAGCAACAGGAAACAGACAGACCTGACAGAAATCAATGATTCGCTGTGGCAACCCCTAAAAAAGCCAAAAGGAAAAGTTTATTAGAAAATATTCACAAGTATAATGAAATATATATATATAATTGGAAATATTGTGATGTCCCTGTTACACTGAGACATGATTTTTATAAACATTGCACAACATTATGACTGTCCAAACTTTTAGGGACCGTCATCCTGTCACAGTTCATTTGTTTTTGTTTGCCACAGACTGAAGATTGAAGAGTAAGTTGCTGAGTATCCCAAAAAGCATTGACATTACAAAGTCAAAGTAAATTTGTGACGTAGAGCACATGTGTCAAACTTAGGCCCGGGGTCCAAATCCGGCCCGCAGTGTAATTATATTTGGCCCACGAGATTATATCAAATATTACAGGTGTGTGTCTTATTTCAAATTACATTTCTCATGTATTTACAATATTGAGCTTTGGTTGTTCCAGATTTAATGTTTACGCAAAACTAAAATTTGTTTCCATATGAAAAAATTCCACATAACAGATCTGGAGAGAAGAGAAAACATGCACAATTTCTGTCAATTTTTCAATAAATGCTAAGTTTGGCGCGCAACTTCGTCCCAGTTTTTAATTTTGGTCCACATTTCTCCTCCTGACACATTATCTCACACTATTTATATTTGTTTTGTTTCTTATCTCGCCTGTTACTTCAGCTGGTTCACGTCCTAAACATGATGTCCACAAAGGTCCTGACCTACTCTGTCTCCAATGAGGAAACTGTGGCTGACCTGCAGCTGAGAATAGAGAAAGACACCAGCATTCCCGCAGCCAATCAGGAGCTGCTGCTGGAAGCGGGACTAGTCCTGGAGCCTCAGGGACTGGCCACACAGTGTGCCGTGGATTACGCAGTAATGTCCAACATAAACAGCACACACACACACAATGGCTTCAGAAAATATCAAACAAACCTCGGAACTAAAGGCCCAGTCATAATGTTATGATCTTGTATCTGTAGGAAATAGATGGGAGACGGACAGACTTGCCGCTGGTCTTCCTGTTTGATCGCTCCTCCTGCAGTTATGAGCCCCAGTTTGCGCCGCGCAACCTCCCAGAAAATATCCGTTTTGTCCGTAAGTTTGTTCCCAGAAAATGCTTATCGACAGTTCTTAGTACTGTCTCCTGAAAACCCCAGTATAAGACGCTGCTGTAGTTGTTTTTTTTTTCTTTGTTTGCATGGTACTAGTAGGTTGTGTAAGTCGATGTATTTATTTTTCTGTACTTGTTATCCAACCAGGATGTCGCCTTTAATTAAAAGGCATTTGTTTAAGGAAACCTGGCCAAGATAGCAGACTATTACAGGATGATGAAATTGATTAAAACGGATTGCATTTAACAAAAAACCCGTATTTGTACATGTACAACTGTACTGTACAGTTATGTACCTTATACCAGTGTTTCCCAACCTTTTTTCATATATATATACGGTAGTCCCTCATTTAAAGGGGTAGATAGGTTCCAAGTCCTGCCGTGAGAACTAAATTTCCGAGAAGTAGTGACACAATATTTATGCGCAGTAAAATGATGATGAGGAAGGTGATGATGACTTTTACTGCGCAGCCGATGATTGATTTTCCATCTCTTCAGAGGGTGGTGCCGTTTCTTGCAGCACCTCTTCCACAGTTTTCCAAAGGTGTATCCGTAGTATTAGCAGGAACTGGCTCTTTTTTGCGAGGCTGAAAAAACATTGTGATCGGCAGTTGCTTCCGCTGCTTCTTTTTCCAGTCGAAGAGTAGCTTGTAGGCAGTCGTCGTCAATTTTGTTGCAAAATTGGACGGATCCAACCATATCGTCGTCCCATTCCTGTGACAGCTCTTGCAGATCCCAATCCGGGATACAGTATATTTTATATATACAGTTTCAAAAACCCGCCACGTGAATCCGTGAAAGATGAACCGCGTATTAGCGAGGTACTACTGTATATCCTCAGGAAAAACACCATACAAAAATCTCACAAAAAGTATATGTAATGAAATATAATAATATTCTACTTTAAATTGTACTCCTGTTTAGTTGAAGAAAACGCTGATATACTGACAGGAATTGAAGAAAGACACTCATAAAGATCTTCAACAGCTCTGATTAGGTTGTTTTAGTTTTAATAACCATCTGCTGCCACCTAGCGGGAGAGGATTTAGTTGCTCTGCTTGTCACGCATTGACGAACAAAGAAAAAAAAAAGTTTTGGGACCAAGTAAATGAAATTGGATAATTTTCCGCGGCACACCTAACGATCTTGCACGGCACAGTGGTTGGGAATCGCTGCCTTATACAATGAATATGAAAGTTTTCTGGGCTTTTTATCAGATGTTTTGTGCGAAATGTTTTCATTCCACCTGAACTGTGATTTTTTTTTCTGTCCCTCTGTCTCCGTCTGTTTTATAGAAACTGATCCTAAACACGTCCTGCCTTACAGCCCTCTGAGGAGGACGTGCGGCCAGGCGTGGCACACGATCCGCTCCTTGAAGGAAGACTGGCAAAGACTGCAGCAGGGGCAGAAAGCCGCCATGTAGGACTTTCTTCTACACCAGCACCCCACCCCCCCACCCTCCTTGTCCTATCGATAAGACCCAAAAACTTTTTCTTGCTTTCTTTTTAGCATGAGTCTGCTGAGACACAACTCTTCACTGTCCCGCCAGAAGATCGAGATGGTGTCCATGTACCAGAGGCTCATGGCCAAACTGGACTTCTTCACCACCAGTCTTCACATAGACATGGACAAATACCAGGAGCAGACATCAACGGGCATCGGTAATAATGTCAAAACTTTGTTTTGACTGTCGAGAATATTAGCTATTTTCTTTATAATTTGTGCATTAATGTATTCTATGTTTGACTAATGACAGTTTTCATAAATGTTCAGCATCAGAGAAACTCCTGAGTGTTTGGAGAGAGATGAAACAAACTGCCATCAGCTGCGGTCAGGTAGTAGTGCGTTTTTTCACATTCTGAGGAAGCTAGTCATATCCTGTTACAACGGGTGCATGCTTACCTGTCTACCAGTCATCGCAGGGCCACTTATAGAATCAAACAGTCATTCGCACTCACATACATACGGATAAAAAAAAAATCATGTGTTTTTCTTCAATTTCTGTGAGTATATCAACATTGTGTTCAACTAAACAGGAGTAAGTTGTGAGTGAATTTAAACTAGAAGATCATGATATTTTATCACATATTATTTGTCACATTTTTGTGACATGTGTGTCATGGCTTAAGTGGAAGTCTGTGGCCAGGGCTTGTAAATAGGCCTGGCTTAAGTTTATGAAAACTTGTGGTCAAGGCTGAAGTTTTCAGTTTTCAAGAAATGCATTGATAAATGCTTCTCTGTTTATGAATAATGTATGAGAATATTTTATGAAGCGAAAGACAAAAAACAACGTGTGTGTGTTTTTGTGTGTGTGTGTGTGCTGTGTTCAGGCCAACGTGAGTGAACTGGAGGAAGAGATGATGCAGCTGCAGCCTGACATAGTGGATGTCCAGAGGCAGCCATGGAGGAGTGGAGAGGCTCTGGACACGCTGTAAGTCAGAGAGAAAAAAAAAAATAAAAACTGCCCTGAGACATTAGATCGTGCTCATGTCTTTTCTTTTGGCCCTCAGAGAAGGGAAGGCCATGGAGCTGTTCCGCAAACTCAGAGAGAAGCCCAAAGGTTAGAATGTTTCACTCTTTATTTCACAGTAATTATCCTGTGAAAATAAACCTTCTTTTTTGAGCTTTTCCCTCTCCTTCTTCCTCTGCTCAGACCAGAGATGTTCAGGAGACGGTCAGGAGGTGGTGCGGCTGGTGGTTCAGGCTGTGCAGTTTTACGAGAAAAAGCTGCGGGATTTCTACACACACCTCAGGTGTTCACACACACTGCTCCAAACATGAGAATCATCACTGAACACTCTGCAGGTGAAAACATCCATCACTGCGCTGTTTAAGCATTGTATATTTTGTGTGTCTGACAGTAAAACGGCTGTGTGTCGTCAGCGTGTGATGGAGCTGCTGCCGCGGGTGGAGGGTGTGGTCCAGAAGATGGCGGAGAGCGAACAGGTTCTGATGAGTCTGCAGGAGAAACGTCAGAGGGAGCTGTGGAACCTGCTCAAAGTGGCCTGTGTGAGGACATGTGACCTTCCTGCTGTGCATTCAATTACAATGTTGTATTTTAGAAATGTAAACACAAAAATGACATTAAATTTGGTTTCCCTTCGGTTTAAAAAAACACACACACAGAAGTGAACAACCATGTCAACTTTGTCCTAAAATACTTCAGATGTCCAAAAGCTAAAGTCAATCCTATGGTGTTGAACTCACTTCCAATACTTTTTACCCTGTTTCCTCTTGTACAGAGTAAAGTTCGCAGCCCAGTGAGTGGAAGTCCTGACGGACTACGAACCCCTTCTTCTGTACCCACTCTTCTGACCCCCAGACAAAGTTTACAGCAGCTGTAAGTGAAACCAATACACACCTGTGCACTCATGTTGTACCACACTCTTAGGCCACTCCCAAACGCAGGTACAATACCACTGCTGGCCAGCAGGGGCTGAATGTAAAAGATATCCCTGCTGTGAGCATTTGGTGGTAATCCCAAATCCTCGTTTGTAGCACATACTACTTCAGTTTTTTTTCTCCAATACTGGAGTAGTATTAAGGCCACCAGGCAGAAAAAATTTAATCTACAACGTTCAACAAATGTTTCATCCACAAAGTTTTGGCATCGAAAATTGCAGCTGGTGGACAGTAGGAGGCAGCAGGTGTTCAATTTAATTTCATCCGTTTATCCGTTACCGGGTCACGGGGGCAGCAGTCTCTATGACCGCCACCCAAATCACACTGCACCGTACCAACCCCTCCTGAATCTTCCTGCGGGTGGTGAGTCCACTGGAAGGTACCAACCTCCCTAACTGGGATTCGATCTTACCCAGGAGGTGAACCCTGGGGTTCTACACCAATGACAGAGACATTGCCTCTGGGCCAAACGCCACAATTTAAAAGGTTATTTTTCCATTTTAAACCAGGTCCAGTTCATATATGGTTCTCGCACTCTCTGTCTGTTTTATAGACATCAGTAGTCCAGTAAAAACTTCAGCCACTGACGGACATTTCTGCCACACTGTAAACCAAACTGTCTCACTGCTGTGCTGTTCCCAACGATGGAAAACTTTGAGACAATACAACGCCAGGGACTGTACACGTTTTATAGTCTCTGTATGTGTGTAGTATCTGTGTGTATGTCGTTAAACTTCTTCTGGTTTTTTTGTTTATCTGGTTCATCAGTGACTTCTGTATTTGTTTTATATTTTGTAATTTGTCAGTACTAGTTTAGTACTACTTACTAAGAGAAGCAGTAAAGACGAGTGTGTCACAGTATTCCACAGTATTGGAAGTAAACCATTACTGTTTAGCAGCTGCTCCTTCAATAATAACAATAATAAATTTTATTTAGAGAATTATTTAGAACAGAAAGAGTCATGAAACTTGTTTAAATCAGAGAGTGCAGTTTGGTCATAGAGGTTTGAACAGATGGGTTTTGAGAGTGAATTAGGGACTGACGTTCTTCTGCTTTAAATTACTTTTTAAATACTTTGTCTCTGTGTGTGCAGCGATGAGTCACTGGTGGAGCAGAGCAGGACGTTTGAGAGTCGACTCCAGAGTTTACTTCACGACACCATCCAGGAATCGGAAGATAATATGGAGGCGAGTCCATGACACATCACACCAAAGACGACACCTGTTCTTGCAGCTCATTTCGTAATAATTGTTATTCACTGACCCTGAAGTTGATTCTCATTGTTTTTGCTCCAGATGTTAAGGGAGTGGACGTGGCTGCACGGAAGCCAGAGCTTCTCCAGTGACCTCTCCTGAACCGCCGCTCACTGCCAGGTTCACGTGTGATGATACTGTACTGCCTCCCTGTGGTCGAGGTGTCCCACTGCATGCAGATGAACTCTGCTTCTACACAGTAATGGGTTTTAGCGGTACGTTTTTTTTTTTGCCCAAATTCCTTGAGATTTGAGCAAAGATGATGTCAGCTCCTCCCCTGATAGTCTATACATCAGAGCCAAGGTCCCAAACTGTTGACCCTCGTGCTGTGAGGTAACCGTGCAAATCCCTATGACACCTGGCTGCCATTATTGCTTGAAAATCCATATATATATATATTTTCTTTCTTTCTGTAGAAGGTCAAACATATCCTAAAACATTTATTCCGTGCAATTTACTTTGAGAGAACTTTAAAAAGTTTTTAAAAATGTTGTCAAAACATTAACCTGTGCTCAGCGATATTCCCAAAAAGGTTTTTTATATAGTGTGATAGTTCATCATAAATTATATTTTACAAACCATTAAAACCATGTGAAACTGTAAGAAATTAACTAAATAATAATAACCCGTTACAACAGAACCTTTATTTCAGTTTAAGTAGAGGTGATATTTTTTAATTGTAAAAATCATGTTGAAAATCTATTTACCTGCTTGAATATTGACATGCATCGTTGTGAAACTGTGAAAACACATTTTTAAATCAGCTGCATATTTGACTTGACATGCATTATGATGCAGGAGCACAGTGTTTGGGATGTTACATTATCATGTATGTGATATTATGATTTTTTTTTTTCTGACATGCGCTAGAAGATTCTTTATTTTTGTTTCTTGAATCCTAAAATAAAGAGTGAATTGTAAATGCCACATTTTTTACATTCTTTAATTCAGCAGTTGAATAAAATGAGACTTAAAACAAAGCACAGCACAGACACCTGCAGTGGTGGGGGTTGTCAAAGGCAAAGTCAAAGAGGTGACACTCAAACCCTGAGCCTCTTTTTGTTTTTTTTCATCAGGACTTCAAAGAGTAGAAGTTTTGCTGTGAATTTGTGTTACTGAGGTCAAGGGTCAAGTCTGATAGCGCCCTCTGGGTGTGATTTCTGCCTTATGTTCTACAGCTTTCATTTCAGTCACTGACATCAATGGGACAACAAAGTCAAACACTTTCTTTTTGCTTGAAAAGCATGCAACAAGTCCACGTTACACTAAAACAAGAATCTCTGATAAAAGACCAGAAATGACCAGAGCACACAGTCAAAGCCAGAAGGTCCACTGGTTCCTGTTAGGAAAAACCTACAGGTCACATCCAGAGAACAGTGGTATATGATTTCTGCATATATGTATAAATGTGATGGAAAATGTTTTTTCGAGAAACAACGTAAAATTATAAATTATTTTAAAAAATTACAGTACTGGAGGTTCTTAGAGGCTGCTCGTGTTTCAGGATTAAGGCCAAAGAAGTATATGTGTGTATATTTGCGTGTGTGTGTGTGATAGTATGTGTTTTGAATGGAGCACATTTTGGTTGTCACATTCAGCCCTATATTTTTCTCGTATGTCGGTCTCCTCTCTTCGTCTCCTCCTGAGGAGTCTTTACGCCTCCAGCTCGAAACCCATTCCCAGTTTGTGTCCACCACCGTTCACGTTCTTCCCATCGACCAGAGCTGAGAGGGTGAGCTTCACTCCTGCAGTACAAGAGTCAGATTGATTGATTGATTGATTGATTGATTGATGCTCAAACTGTTGAGGATAACAGGACAGAACTGAAGCAGACTGAACTCACCTGGCCTCAGAGTCTGTGTGTATCCCAGACCAACCAGGCAGGAGTTGTTGACTTTGGCCTGGCAGAAGAATCAGAAGATGACATTTTAACATTTAATATTTACAGGTTGTTTTTTTGGACAATCAAAATGACTAGAGTTTAGAAGGTAAACCTAGAAAGCAAACTAGTTATTCTAAATGAAAAACAATGAGCCAGAACATAATTAGCTAATAATTGGCTCCAGTTTATACTGGAATTATCAGTCCAGCGTAAGTGAAAACTGATACAATGTGCCTTAAAGTCACTAATAAATGGCTAAACATGACTTCATATGGCTGAAAATAGTCAGCTAAAAAGTGAAAGTTTTATCAAGATGTGGATTAAGCCCACGCTGATTGATGGTCATGATTTTTATATTCCTTCAGTGTTTGACTCAAGTCTTTTGTTACCGTTTCTTCTGTGGCGACCACAAACAAGAAAAATCACAAAAATAGACTGTATATAAAACATGGAGTGATGTGGACACTGACCATTCAGATCCAATGGTTCTCTGTTAGTGGATCAGAAGACTGTGTTGCCAATGGTACTATTTAGTACACCAGGCTTTACTAGTTATGATTAATTAAATCATGATTCCATTTAGAGGAAACAAGATGATAAAGTGGAACATGTACTTTGTCTCCTCACTTTATCTGAACTGTATGTGATTTGTTGTTAGGAGGCTAACAAGAAAAAATAATAAGTATTACAGTTTGGGTGAAAAATATTAACACTTCTGAGGTCGCTCTGTTTGAGAGCATCTCAGTGCTGTGTAATAAATATATCTATATATGACTTTCGAGAACGATACAACTGTTGGTTCTGATCAGTTCTTACAGACAGGGAGGAGTCCTTATCCAGCTGGTACTTGGCCCCAATTCCAAAGCGTGTGTTGTTGCTGCCAGCGATCCAGGCCAGGTGCACTGCTGTCTCCAAGTTGCTGTTGACCTTTTGGTAAATAGAGCCTCCAAACTCTGTGCTGTCATTGCTACAACACAAGAAAAATAAAATAAAATAAAAAGAGAGACTTTAGCAATCTGAGGAAACACTTCCTTTCTATTGTTAGTGCTTCTTCCACTGTTTCACTTCCATTTCCTGTGACTCACACATTGGTATGAAGCTGAAAGTCTGCAGCCTTGTATCCCAGGGCGAAGTTGTTCTGCGTCAGTTTGGATTTGGCGGTGTCAAAGGCCAACTGGTAGCCCGCCAACCAGCCCTCGTAGCCCAGCACGGCCGTGGCACTGACAGTGGGACCGGCCATGTCGAAGTCCAGGTCACAGCCCATGTTGATGTAGTCACGTTTGTAGGCGGTCTTCAGTTTGGCACTCTTCTTACTACAGAGTTACAACAAAAACAAATAGTCAGTTCTACAGCAGAGTCATCAGTGAATCGACTGATTGGTGTAAAACATTATTAAGAGACGACAGCCGAGCACTCACCCAGTGTTAGGCACACAGGAAGTGTCCAGAGCTAGCTTCAGGCCTTTAGCCAACTTCATAGAGACAGAGACACAGGCTGTGAGCTTCGGTCTGTCATCTTAATCTGCCCGTTAGAACAATGTCAATATTTCCAGTCTGTGTAAATTCACCTGGTCCTCCATGGTGATTTCTGTGGTCAGGGTGTTGTCCGTGTTCCATTTCTGATTAAAGCTGAGGCCCAAGTCGCTCAACTTGTACTTGGTTTCGAGGTGACCACCTGACCTCCCCGTGTCTGTGTTGCTGGAACCCGAGGTGGTGAACTCCTGCAGGTCACATGATAGAGTGGAGTGAAAAAAAGATACATTTTTAAATTGGAGGCAGAGTGTGAGAAGCACCAATTTGGGTGCAGGAGGACGGGGGAGATGGGGAGGTTAAGGATAAGCATTGTTTCTCTACTGCTCTCCTGCCCTACCACCAGTCTCTGGACTGAACAACTGCTGGGGGTTTTTGTAACAAGAAATAACTTAAGAAGGAAGAACTGAAAATAGAGGCAGGACAGTGAGGGAGGGGCAGGACAGTGATCACATTTGAGGACTGAAGCTGTGCAGTGGCAGTGTGTGGTGACACTGTCACTTTAAGAACCCTCAGCTGCACAGACACACACTCAGCGGTCAGCCTGCACACATGTAAACAGTGACACTGTGTTACCCTGCAGTGCATCTGTTTGACTATGACACGCACACACACACACACACACACACACAGATACACACTCACCCTTACCATCTGACAGGAGCATCCAGAGAAGGAGCAGAAAAGAAAGAACACAGGGAGGTTTAGGAAGAAAAGGAAGAAGAAGATATTGTTTATTATTGTTGAAGTTCTATCCTGTTTATGTTTAACTGATGTTTCATCAGTTTGTTGGTTCGATCTCTATGGGAAATGGGAAATAAAAAATAATTTTAAAGATTTTCCTTTATGCATAATTGGTTGTTCGGAACAGCAATTTCAATTAAATATATCGTATAGCAAACAAACACAGTGATATTTAAGAAGTGAAATGAAGTTTAGAGGATTTACAGAAAGTGTGCAATAATTACTTAAACAAAAAAAGTAGGCAGGTGTATAAATGTGGGCACACTTCTTGTTTTATTGATTTGAATATCTTTAAGACTAATTACTGGAACACAAAATTTGTTTGGTAAGCTAATTGACCCTTGACCTACATACACAGGTGAAGCCAATCATGAGAAAGGGTATTTAAGGTGGCCAGTTGCAAGTTGTTCTCCCCTTTGCGAGCCTGTCAGTTTCCACTGTGAGGAACATAGTGAGGAAATGGAAGACCACAGGCACAGTTCTAGTTAAGGCCCGTAGTGGCAGGCCAAGAACAATCTCAGATAAGCAGAGGTGAAGGATGGTGAGAACAGTCAAACTCAACCCACAGACCAGCTCCAAAGACCTACAACATGATCTTGCTGCAGATGGTGTCACTGTGCATCGTTCAACTATTCAGCGCACTTTACACAAGGACATGCTGTATGGGAGAGTAATGCGGCAGAAGCCTTTTCTGTGCCCATGCCACAAAAAGAGTGGCTTGAGGTATGCTAAAGCACATCTGGACAAGGCAGCTTCATTTTGGAATAAGGTGCTGCGGACTGATGAAACTAAAACTGAGTTACTTAGACATAACAAAGGGCGGTATGCATGGTGGAAGAAGAACACAGTATTCCAAGACAAACACTTGCTACACACAGTTAAATTTGGTGGTGGTTCCATCATGTTGTGGGGCTGTGTGGCCAGTGCAGGTACTGGCAGTCTTGTTAAAGTTGAAGGTCGCATGGATTCCAGTCAGTATCAGCAAGTTCTTGCGAACTATGTTCAAGAATCAGTGACAAAGTTGAAGTTGCGCCGGGGCTGGATACTTCAACAAGACAACGACCTTAAACAACGCTCCAATTCTACCAAAGCATTTATGCAGAGGAACAAGTACAACGTTCTGGAATGGCCATCTCAGTCCCCAGACCTGAATATCATTGAAAATCTGTGGTCTGTTTTAAAGTGGGCTGTCCATGCTCGGAAACCATCAAACCTGACTGAACTGGAGATGTTTTGTGAAGAAGAATGGTCAAAAATACCTTCAACCAGAATCCAGACCCTCATTGGAAGCTATAGGAAGCGTTTAGAGGCTGTTATTTCTGCAAAAGAAGGATCTACTAAATATTGATGTAATTTCTCTGTTGGGGTGCCCAAATTTATGCACCTGCCTACTTTTGTTTAAGTAATTATTGCACACTTTCTGTAAATCCTTCAACTTCATTTCACTTCTTAAATATCACTGTGTTTGTTTGCAATATGATATATGTAATTGAAATTGCTGTTCCAAACAACCAATGATAAAAAACCATAAAGGAAAATCTTGAAAATGATCAGGGGTGCCCAAACTTTTTCATACCACTGTAAATATATATGGGTCGACAGTACAGTATGGTCAGTATGATAAATATACTATGGTGTCACATCTCAACAAAGATTTCTCAGTTCAGACCTGCCTGTCATATATAAAGTACAGTATGTCCATATACTGTAGTTTAAACATGAACACCATCACTGCTGTGATGCAAAAGTTTTTTTTGTCAAACAATTTCTTTTCTATTGATTGATAGGTCAGTGTGGTAACATAAATGTGCTCGTTAGGGTTTCACCATGGAAACAGAATCCTGACGACATACAGCATTCTCATTTTTCCCTTCATTTGGAACAAAGGAGTTTTTTTAGACTGAGAACGTGTCAGAGAGAAAACTAATTGACCTTTGCTGCTACTCCAGTCACAAAAAACCCACACAAAAGAGACACTGAATGACAAGTGAGTCTGTTAGAGACAGAGAAATCATACTTACAACACCACTCTGGGATTTGGTCTTTACGTCCAGTTTGAGAACCCCATACCCTGGAGGTGCAGGACATTAGTGAAATTAAAGAGAGAAGAGGAAATAATTTACATCCTTGTACTGAACAACATGGCTGTGAAACTGCTGCTTAAAAAACAGCACTCAAACTAATTACAGCCTGAGCCTGCAGCAGCTCAGCTGAGTAAGTTAAATGTGTCTTCAGTTTACCGAAGCCTTTGTTGAAAATGTCTTTGGCTGATTTTCCCAGGTCGGCGAATGAAGGAGGAACAGTCATGGTGCCTGAGGAAACAAATGATACAAACCATTTAGTACGCCACAGATTGAATACTAACCCATGGTCAGAAGGACTCTCAATTTACTGAGCTCCATCAAATTTGGATGCGTACAGGTACACTGTTAATCCACAACATCAAACTGCTGCACCTCCAAAGAGCCAAAGTCATGGACCTAACAGTTGGTTTGTTGAAGTCTCCTCTTTTACACTTGACAGGCTTTAAAAACGCTACGTTACCTCATGTGCTACACACTGCATATATGTGAAAACCATGTGAGGTATATTAACTGAGGGATACGTGCAGTATACCTCAGCTAATTGTAGTACATTGTTTCCCAAAGACTGGGTCGCAACCCTCAGGTGGGTCGCAAGAGTGTTGTTGTTTTTTTTTAGGGTCATCTCACATCATGTTTCCCAGGAGTTTACGAATAATGTCCATTGACTTGGGTCGCAAAGGTCTGTGACAAATGTTTGAGAAACACTGCTTTAGTGTACTGTATGTACTGTCAATGTGGCTCAGAACAGAGAAAGTCTGTCTGTTTGACCAGTGGCCTTTTAAGGCTTTAGAGCTTCAATGTAAAACCAACTGATTGCCTGGCAACAGTCCATTAGCAGCAGCAGCAACACCAGCAGCAGCAGCAGCAAAAAAAATGGGACTTTTTTTGTGTTAAATAATGTGGAAAGAAAAAGAAGTTTGCATAAGCAACAAAGTTGACAGGCAGCATCAGGTCTGGTTAGTCAGCTACTACCAGTACTGTAGTACTGCACTACACCGTCCTGCTCCAGACAGTCATCACAAGGGTCCCATCACAGATCTGATAAGGAAAGCGTTTTGGAAGAGTTGGCATAGCCCGCAGATTTTAACTTGAAATGGTGCTTTCAGGGACCCTAGTGATGTATTCGACATGCTGTACCCACGGCCCACTCACCCTGACATTTAGGAGCCTGGTGGCAACATTTCCCACAGGGTTCTTTGTTCTTGACCTGCATGTCCTTTCCTGTCTCTGCCATGTGTCTTCAGATCAGGGAAGCACAAGGACAAGGACGGATACTTTTGACACTTTAAACACTCACATTTCTAATCAAACCCACAACCTTTCTGGTGTAAGACAGGTGCATTACCTACTGATCTACAACCACCCATATGCATGAGTTCAAAGAACAGAACAAACAGAACAAAGAATGTTTGTACATTGTGTAGAGTTGATTTGGACAGGATTGGGCTGCATGATGAAACTAAAGTAATGGTGGTCTAAAACAATGACCCCCGTCCCCCTGCTTTTGTAACACAAGATACAAAATGCAACTCACCTTACAATGTCCCGCCCCTTCTGCATGATATCTTAAGGCTGGAAGGGTAAAGTCCAACATACGGCAGCCTCACTACAGATGTATTTTTCTAAATGTACTATATAATATTTATATTAATTAGATCATGTCATCAGATTTGAAATAATAATTTTGTATTAGTACTAGTATACAGCATTTATTTATTATTTAAGTTCACGATCTAACTTCCTGATTCAAATGGCATCCTATTATTTATGAGGTAATACAGAAGTAAAGACAGAGGGTGGCAGTGTTTCAGACATGGTTGGATTTTTTCATAGCAGCCTACATGCCAATGTGACACTGGGCAAATAACTTGCGCCACTTTACTCCCAGCTACTGTACTGGACCTGTGTCAACAGAAATGATGGACGTGTGTGGTCGGAGAAGTAAACATATTACGTGTGGAATGTGAATCTGTAAAATACACCAATCAGAGGACATCAAAGACTGAATGAAATTTCAGTCTTTGATTTCCTGGAAATCTGACATGGTCCCTATGGTCATCATTTAAGCCCTTCTGACCCAGGTGGTTTTACTGACCACAGGCCTCGTCCCCTGGCTGCCTGTCTCCTTCATCAGGTGACAAATAAATACTCCATTTCTACCTCACCTCCTCACACTCATACCAGCAGTTCCCTTCTCGCCTTCATCCCTTAGTCTCCACACACCACTCTATATTTAGAACAGGTGAACCTGACACTACGACACATGTGACTAGGGTTTCAACAACATGTGGCCTCATGTCAGGTCTAACCTGTTAAAACCATTGAATGTGGAAAACAGAGGAGTATCAGTCTGATTTGGTGCCTACACTACTGACTCATGCCTCTCTGCTCTTAACACTTCCCTAAGCTGCAGCCACATGACTGAGCTGAAGCGGCTGAGCCCAGAGGTCAGAAAGGTCATAAACAATAACAAAAATACGACCATGGAACCACTGCTGGGGTAAGAAGCAGCACGCCGTTCACTGGTATCACCGAGCCACAGTAGGTATGAGGGTATGTTATTACAATTGTATTATCAGAGATAAATAACTTATTATAAAATACTTATAAGTAGATAAAATACTTATAAGTATTACATTAGTTATATAAATAATTATAAAAAATATATAATATATATATATACATATAATGTCATATTTTTAATTCATTCAATTTATATGAAATATACATACATAATTTCTCAATTTGTAAAAATATGCTAGATGTTTGATTTAATAAACAAGAGTATAATAAAAATAATCTATATTAATACTTTTTTTTAAATAAAAAGTCTTGTGAAGTCAAGTATGTTCGTTTGCGGCTCAAAATGAAATGATCATAATTAAAATATGTGAGAGATGGGATATCGACAACTGTAATAAATAGATTGCGTTTAATTAAAACCCCCAAAATACCATGTTTAATCACTAGTTAAGATAGTGTAGACACTTATTACAATCTACTTACTAACGAGCGGTCCGAATGACAGACAGACAGTAAGACAGTAAGACAACACTGGCGAAACCATCTGCGAACATGAAACCAGTACGTGAGGCAGACCTGAACAACCTGAGGCATGTGTGAGTGCGAGATAAGTTGAAGCGCACTTCGCCGGGACAATTTATAGCTTGGATGTGAAGTGCATGATTGGTGACGAGTGTGTGTTCGAGACTAAGTCTATGATGAGTTGGTTTTATTTCCTCTTTCTATCTTTCCACTGTTAACCTTGAGGTTTAAAACATAATAAAAACAACAGGTGGAGGGTTCCACAGTCAGTCTAAGCACGTCCTGTTATTACTCAGCTGATCGTCGACCTTGCACTCTCAACAAACGCGGAGATAATGTGATTTATGGCATCTGCTAGCTCCGTTCAACTGCTGTAGAAATTTGAAAGTCCAATGTTTGCCAGGAGACCAACACTGTTGCAACCAACTAGATGCTGCTAAATGAAGTGATAGCACACATTTTCATCATTAGAAAAATCAGTAAATTATTATCAGTATCTTGAAAATACCACACAACAGCTTAACGTTGTAGTGATTTAATTCAAAGTACTACAAAATGTCAGTGGTTACACGTGGGTAATAGGAGTTAGAGTTTTGACAAACTGTTTGATAAACTTTGTAGGTCAGATTGTACGTAGTCCAAAGGACAGGTGTCACATTAAAATGCTAGCTGGAATCACTAGTATTTTCCAACCTTATGATGTAATGACCTAATCTAGCCAAACCGGTCGATGCTACCTGGAGGTTACAAGGTAGGTTATCTACCTTACTACTTCTACGGCAGACTTTCAGACTATGTTTTTTGCCTTCTAAAATGCTCAAAAGTAGTATGCAACATGAACAGGGTCCAAACATGACTTTTATAACTGTCAACATGTTACACCTGGTGTCTAATAATGTGCAATGTTATTTGGGTCAACATTTCGTTATATTTTCTGTTTTACTCTGAAAAGGATTTTATGTTTACCTAATTGATGTATTATTTGAAAAAATAGTAGCCTCAATACCTAACAATAACAACCTACAACCTAATAATGTAAAGCTGGGTAGTACTGAGGGAAACAGACTTTCTGTACAAACAAGTGTTTTGTAACTTTATTTTATGATTACTGGGTTAAACATACACACATTGTGATGTCTCATCAAGAACCGGTTCATATTGCAAAGCATTTGTAATGACATGAAAGGGTAAAAATACCCACATGTGAAGACAGCACCAAGTACTTTTGATGATATTCAAATAAATAAATTCCCTGCTGTTGTTGACTTTTAACAACTGTTAAGTGGGCAAAATTCTATTTTTCGAACTTTAAAGTGTGTTTCATCCGTATTAATTTATTTATTTATTTTGTGCACTAGAACATTGTGTGACTTACTCACTTATGTAACTAATGTGTTTTGTTTTAGGGTTCATCAGCAAGCAATATTTTAAGCAAAAGAAAAAAGGTAAAATAATCTTGGTTTTTCTAAACAATAAAAATGTTACATTAAACTATTTAAAACCGTAATTGCTAAGAGCTCAGGTGTTTGAAAGTTTTCAGATTTACTGGAGGGTTAGGGTTCAAGGTACTATAGGTACAAGGTACTATAGAGAGCCATTATCTTATAGTAAACCAAATACTAAACAAGTTGGTTGATTTAACTATTAGTTCGATTTAGCCATTAAACAATTTTAATCAGTAACTGTGACTGGATTTTGGGTAGTCGTAAGAGGTTTGTCTAATCTCTTGTAAAATTTTCATATAACGACCGTTTAACTAGCATTAGCAAAGATGAATAGTTTACGGTTATAGCTTAATATCAACATCTGGTATGAACAGGTTTTAACTGGCACTGAAGACCTTACTTTTACTCCCTGCACATATGCCCCTGCTGTCCCCACCCGCCTGTTTATGTGTGACTCAGACCTGACAGTGAGACACTTTCAACGACAGGCATGTTCAACATACTGGCGCACACATTTAGAAAACGTAATTATAAACAACTGGTGACTTATTCCCTACCTTAATCTACGGTGCAGGAGTTGAAGACAGCGGTGGTCACAGCAGTGGGACACTTCGAAGGAGTAAGCGGAGACTTGATGCGCATGCGCAGTGTGCACAGCAATGCAGCGGGCGGGGCGTTTGTGCAACTCACTGAAAATGTTAATATAAGTGATAATTATTCGTTATTGTACGTTACCTTACGCACTAAATATTGTAACTAAAGTTTTATACTTTGGTAGTGTATAGCCCTTAACGACAACAGCAAAGAATTTTGATAAACCAACAAACGAGATCTTCGTAATTACATTCTTCCACCACTAGGTGGCAAATAGTTCTTGTTTATGACAGGTGGCACAATGTGTCTGCCCTGCGGGTGGTCTGTCAAGGTTATGAACAGTACAAAGTTCCTGTCCCATCCTATTCAGTTTATGGCGTTATGAAACTGAGAAGCGGTTATAGATAGAGATTTATTAAAAGGTTTAAGGGCAGCAATCGTGAAATACACAGAGACAACAACGCTCAGGCAAAGTATTGTCTTCCACATAGAAATACACTTGCTAGAACGCAAAATATGTCCTCACAAAAACGCAAGTTTGTTGAATGAATGACTTAATACATACATTTTTAATTATATTTATGAATGTAATTGTAACATATGAGATGTTTATTTACGTTTATACTACATATATTTTTTAATTGTCCATATACTAGTAAGTTTTGTATAGCTTTAAATAAATTCCACGTGTTTTATTATTCTTTTTAACAATAGTTTAATAGTGACTATTTTATGTAATAAGTTAGTCATGTGCATAATCTTTAGATGCTTGTATTTATTTAGATGCTCATTCGTCAGCCATTGATTCACTAATTCATCTTAAGTCTGTTTTATTCTTCCTTGTATCCATGTGTCCATGTGTCCATGCACCTTTGCTTCGTCTCGCACTCGCGGCAACGGCGTCATGTTTCAGACTGGCTCCTGTGACTAGGTCCATTAAGTGACGCCCAATAATACTTCTGCAGGCAAAAAACCCCAAAAACGTTTGGATATAGGCTACCAATCCGCTTAACCCTCCCGATGTCCTTTGCATTTTGGTAACACCGTTTGTCCTTGCAATGATTTTCATCTTGTCCCAGAATATGAGTATTAATGAATATGAGGAAAGGTTGGCACATGTCACGCAGTACAGGAACATGCACACACACACGCACACGCACACCTACGCACACAAAGACATATTGGGTCTAGGTGACCACGAAGGACCGCACAAGGGTTAATAATTTACAAAAGCATAATGGTTGAATCAAGAACTCCAAAACTGCCGCCAGCCTGCGATCAAAAAACAAAACACTTCCTGTGAGTCACGCCTGAATCAATTAATTGACAGCTTCCAATGTCCTTCAACCAGTGTCCCGCAGCTCCATTCAGGCGAACTATGAGAGGACTCATGACTCATGTATCATCATCAATGTCCACGTCTATCCATCTGTTGGCTTAATCTATTTAACTGTGTCCACCTGTTTTAAACAGTCACCCATCCATTTGTACAGATATTCATCCCTCCATACATGTATCTGTCTTCGTTTTACCTCTTTGGTAAATTGTTTTGCATTTTGCATTTTGCATTTTATAAAATCAACATCTCTCTAAAACTGTCAACGAGCGGGTATGTTGCTCTTCCTGTCTGTCACGTACATTTCTATGCGCGGCGTCGGCGTTGCCATGGTGAAGGACATTAGAGTCGATACATTGACGTCAACGCCGCGGGTGAACAAAAATCCTCGGATCAACAGATAGAAGTAAACGAAGGGTTTTTGTTTGATCACTGTTTTCGACATAACCGATATCAGCTGCTCAGTGTGAGCTCAGGTACATTTTACCATGGAGCCTTTTTGTATTACGAATAACATTTCTACAGCGAAGATGTGTGTGTGGGTGTGTGTGTGTGCGTGCGGGTGGACTTACACGATGTATGAACGATTATAAAAACAAAACCTGCACTCGCGAGTGCATTTTAAAGCTGATTATGTCTGTCTGTAAAGGTGCATTGTTTTGGACTTCAGTCACAGTATGTTCTGCTGTATTTAAATGATCAGTAAAGGTTATTTATTTTCTACTGGAGGCTTTGACAAGTTCACCACTGAGGGTTGCTAAATGCTAAACAGTGTACCTTTAACTGTGTTGTCTAAAACGGGGACAGCTGTCATGTATAATGCTGTATTACTAAATAATTGTATTTCTCCGGAGAAAATTCCAGCAGACGAGCCCTGTTAAACTTACATTTCAGGGATTTGTTGTTGTTGGAGCTCCTATGTTTTTAATATGTGCCTTGTTGAAGCATTTATAATGTTGCCAGAAGAGGCAACACGTGAAGAAGTCTGTTTAAATTTTGAATGTCCCTCCTCCTCAGTTCAAATCAATACACCATCAGTTGTTCTTATTTGTGGTAGAGCAGATACGCTTCATGTAGTATCATTCTTTCATCTTCTTTTTTTTTTCATGTTTGGGTCTGTGATGTCATCAGTGGTCACATGAGAAACTATGGTAAAAACCTCACCTGACTTTGATCCTTTCTCTCAATTATTTTTTCTCAATTCATTTTGAGTTGTGGCCCTTTGGCCCTGTGGCAATGTCTCTGTCATTGGTGTGGAACCCCAGGGTTCACCTCTTTGGGAAGATCAAATCCCAGTTAGGATGGTTGGTACCTCCCAGTGGACTCCCGTGACCTGGCAACGGATAAGCGGATGAAAATGGATGGATGGATTTTAAGATTTTGTTTGTTTTTTTTTTGCTTTTTGTTTTTTTTAATTTGGTTGTAAACATTTAAAAGTCAACACATTGTAATGAGTTGAGATGTTTATGCGATTTATGAGGGAATTTAGTTGTCTGGCTCCTTAAATGGCATTTAAAATTGCTAACAAAACTATGTATTTTAGGCCATTGTTTCCCAAAGACTAAGTCCAGACCCTCAGGTGGGTCACAAGAAATTTTTCTTTTGAGTCGTCTCACATCATGTTTCCCAGGAGTTTATCAATAATGTCTATTGACTTGGGTCGAGAAGGTTTGTGACTCTTAAAATATGGGTCCTCGAAAAAAAGTTAAGAAAAACTGGTTTAAGCAGTTAAAATACATCAAATGTAAATGGATCAAATGTATACCCCTATAAACATATACTGGATTTAAAAGTGTTCTCAAGTGTTTGCTTTTCCTCAATTACTCCTAACCGTGATTTTTCTTTTAAACTCTTTCTAGGTACAGATGTGTGAGGGACCTTCATCAATATCTGGGCCGATTCCCCCGGATCCTTCTCTGATTCCTCAGGATTACAGACGACCAGTTTCAGGTCTAGTATTGTTTTAGAGTTGAGTGACATCCCCTACAAATGTATCTGCTAATGGAAAGTAAAAATGTAAAAGGTTTTCTATTCTTGGATCTTTCAGCTCGTGGACGTTTAGAGGGAAACCATAACGGTACTTGGACTCTGCTCTCTGGGCCACTCGCTCCAGATCCAGTCTTGTACCCTGGCTACTACAGTGCACGAACCCCGGCACCACCTCCTCGTATCGGACCTAATGCTACCCATATTTTGGAACGGGGACAAAGAGGGGTTGTGGGGCAACTACTAAAACTAGATGGTGTTTCGTTTGCCCCCATTCCCAAACCCAGTAAGTTTCAAAATATGTAAGAACTATTATGAAAAAGACAGGATCAGATTTAAGAGTTTTGCACATATGATAACATGATGTAAATATTTGTTTTAAAAATTATCCCAGACAACTTTTATCACTGATGATTTCAGAGCCAAAGGTGTACGATTTCAGTAAAGAGAATGTGCGTCGTCTCAGAGAGATCCAGAGACGGTACAAAGAGCAGGAGGCTCACAGAGCACAGTCTCGTCCAGTTCCAGTCAAAGCTCTTTGGACCTCACCCAAATATGAGAAGGTACCATCCAGGGTCACTGCCCACCTCCAGGTAAGGAAGCTGCCTTTAGATTATATATATGTAAAGTCAGTATGGTAGCCATATTCCAGGTTTACTTGTAATCCAATTTCTGTCCTATAGATGTCCAGTCCAACAGTCAAACCACAGTGTAAAGGTTTTCTAAAGGCACACTCAAACAGTGGATCCACTAGCACACCCAGACCTCGATCTGCTTCCTGTGTACCTGCACAAGACCCAGATTTAAGAGTAAGGAACACCAGGTTCAAGCGCCTCTACTTTTTCCCCACATGACTTGCACTGTTTTTAAGAAACAAATTAATTTCACTTGTATTCCAGTTTTAGTTTGACTCCTTATTTTGTTTGATACAACTGCAGTTAGAGATTGAAGGTCACACCATTGACTTCATCAGGCACAATGCCAGAGCTGCGGGAAAAGCTGGTCTGCGTCGATCTCAGTCTCTGACCAATCTGAGAGACAAACCTGTACCAAGTGCAGTAAAGGGACAGGTGCCTCAGTAGTGAGTAATCCAAAACAACAGTCTAATTATTTACCAGTATGACCGACACCAAATGTTACAACACCTGTTGCCTGTGTATTTTTCCCCCCTAATTGTGTTCTCAACACACACTCTTAGTCTGGAGGAAAGGAAGGAACAGTGGCGTCGAGAGGCGGAGGAAAGGAGGAAGAATGCGCCTGATCCTACAATCCCATCTGGACACACGATGATGTCAGAGAGTGAGAGGCAGGAGACACTGAAGTCCTTGAAAGAAAGTATGTCTGTCTATGTTTCACTTACATTACATTTGTTGTGACGGTTAAAATAATAAACATGTTAGTAATGTTTTCAGTTAATATTGTTGTTGTTAAATTTCCCCCCAGCCCATCGTTCTCTGGTGACCGAGCTGCTGTCAATTCCTCTCAAAGCTGACAATCTGAGTGTTCGCTCACGCCGCGCTCATCTTGACTGTAGGCTTTCGGAAATTGAAGAAGCCATTAAAATCTTCTCAAGGGACAAAGTTTACGTAAAAATTGACTCCTAACACGTGAGAAAGCAGCAAAGGTGAGGGACATCTACTGTCAAACATTAAAGACCAAGACGAGGAAGAAAGAGAATGAAGATAATTGGTCCTGTGGTTCTTTTTTTTTTTAATGTTTTTGTTCTGGTTAATGTAAAACAAACTATCACTGTACATAATCCAGTGTTCTACTGAAATTTGTTTTCATTTTTTTCAGAAGCCTCATGAAACAATGCATGCTTGTCATTATAAACCTGTTTTAATTTTATCTGGTTCAAACTACATATGCTATCTAGATTTTATTAACTGCAAAAACATGATGTTTGTGTGTCATTAATAAAATAAATGTAAATTTGAAAAAAGATCAATGTATAATATATTTATTAATCAACATTTGTGTCATCAACAAAATCCACGATTGGACATGGACAACGTGCATAGAGAAGAAAAAGTCTTTAATGAATCTCATTGGTTCTTCGCGACTCTATGACGTAAGACGTACGTCCCTCCCCCTTGCGTCTTATTCATTGTTCAGTGTGGTACAGTCAATGTGCTAACGCTAACTTAGATTACAACATATTCGAACAAAGATCTCGGGTAGTAACTAATATTTAGAATTTAATTAATTAGCAATGAGCAAGAGGAAAGCCCCCCAGGAATCCCCCAATGAGGGAATTACAGACTTTCTTGTTGGTACGTATGAAGACGACGAAAGGCTGCTAGCAGCTAACAGCTAACTTAGTAGCTCTGTGGTCTGCTTTGTTTATGAATAGAAATAACCAGTAGTTTCAAACATTGGTGCTGGGTACGTTTTCGATATCACGAGAAGGCACTATTTCCTTAGTTTCAACTTTTGTTTTTTTAAAGCCAGATATTCTGACGTTTTGTGTCGACTCTCCTGCTCCTTAAAGTTCTTCTATTTAAATACCTTCCAAAAACGCCACCTCATCATGTTCTGTGTTTCCAGAGCTGGCCAACTATGAGAAAAATGTCAACAGAGCCATACACAAGTACAATGCATACAGGTAATTTTTAGACACTCCCCTGCAGTGTCTAATTTGTCTTGGTGTATATATTTGTTTGTTTGTTTTTTTTTAATGGTTAGTGACAGATGGGATCAAGGTTGGGCCGGTGTCATATAATGTGTCAGCATTCCTCCCTGTTAGCAGGGGTGATGGGCACCAGATGGAGTAAAACAGGATATTCTGGACCATGTAGTATTCAAATAGTACAGCATTGTGTTATGTGTGGTAAGAGTAGGATAAGACAGCAACATTAGGGAGGTAAAGAGTAGTCATAGAAGAAGAAGGAACAAGACAACGTACAGGAAAGATAGAGACACAATGTGTTCTTTTGTAATAGGAGACAGTGGATCATGTTGTATTTGTATGTACAAAAATAAATAAATGGGATAAACATTGGCAACAGAACAGATGACACTGTTGACTATATATTTCAAAAACTTTCCAAGTTTTGGAGGTGATACAGACGTGAGAGGTGGACGATTATGATATTTGTGTTTTAGGAAGGCCTTATCATAAATTAGCTGTACGGTCAAGTGAAATAGAGATTGACCAGAGGGTGGCAGTAATGCAACATGATACCAACTGCCATTTAAAAAATGAGAATTACTTTAGTTTAAATGGTGGGGATTTAAAGGCTAGACGTAAAAATGTGGATTCGAAAAAGCAAATTGTTATAAACTAGTATTTCCTGCAAACAAACTCTAGCTGTATGGCTAATGGTGTCTCTGTGATGTTAGAAACTTGGTGTTTTTTTCCACTAAACTTCTCTGCCTTATCGTCATGCTAATTCCACTGCCTTTACAAAGAAGAACCTTTAGTGCCTACAAAAGGTTCATTGTACAACTCAGCCCAGGTCCCTGCAGTGGACATGTGCTTCAAGATACTGAAATGGTGGAGTTCAAGATGCAGAGATTAACTTGAAGTGTGACCAAGATGGACAGGATTAGAAATAACATTACCAGGGTGACACCTCGGGTCGACAAATTCAGATTATTAAAAATTATGAATTATGTAACAGCAGCTGAGGCTAAAGGTTTGGGTTAGAGGCAGACAGAAGATCTATGATGGTCAATCCTGAAAGAAGATTCCAGATCAGTAAAATTGGCTTTTTAAATGATTCTGACTCTTATCCAAAAATCCTAGTGAAAAGTGTCATTAAAATCCAGTACCAGGTTGTCATTACTGTGTCTGTGTATTAATTACATAACTCCTGTCTTGTACTCCAACTAGGAAAGCTGCATCCACCATTTCTAAATATCCCAACAAGATCCGGAATGGTGAAGAGGCCAAAAAGCTGGTATGTCTACGGAATACAGTTACAATGTCCTTATTGGCTACCCTTCAAAAACACTATTAGAAAATTTGTAGTGTGCAGTAAAAGTGGGAAAAAAACAGCAGTGTAGTGTTGTTGTTTTTTTAATCTCTATTTCAACAAATACAGTAATATATGATAATGGGCACATTCCTCTCCTAATCTGTCAGAGTTTGATGTTGAGGTGAACACAGTGATACTGACCTGTCAGAAATGGAAACGGTGACCTGGTTCTCACTGAGCTGACACTGTTTCATCTTCAAGACTGATGTGCACTGGAAAGTGAATCATTGTTGGTCTTTGCTAACAGTCACGCACTGCTGCTGCTCTTTGTTGTGGCCTAAAAAATATTTGTCAGCAGCCACTCTGGACATCTTACATAACCGCTACAGATCACACCAGTTAACACCCTCGTGTTTGTTTTCACATTTCCACAGGATGGTGTTGGTGCTAAAATAGCTGAAAAGATTGACGAGTTCCTACAGACAGGCAAACTACGGAAACTGGAAAAGGTCGGTGTTCGGGAATGTAAATAACATCCCTGCTGATGCATTTTATGTTTGGTTCATTAAAATCCTAATTTTATTACATTGCACACAGTAATGAGCTGTCCTCTGTATTTCTCGTGTCTAGATTCGAAATGATGACACAAGCACTTCCATCAATCTCCTCACCAGAGTGACAGGAATCGGGTAAATTCAATTGAACTTTTTGACAAATCAAGCACAGCATTAATTGTATGAATTGAACTTCATGAGTGTCTAATAGAAGACATACAGTATTTAGCTTCTAATTCTGAATTTATTTTCATGGACGCTAATTTCAGCCCTGCTGCAGCCAGGAAATTTTTTGAAGAAGGGGTCAAGACTTTAGAAGGTTTGTGTTGCAGTTGCAACTTCAACAAAACTTCACCCGGCTAACGTGTTAGCTGTTGACTAATTTTTAACACTTTTTTTAGATCTGAAAAAGATTGAGCACAAGCTGAATCATCATCAACAGATTGGACTCAAGTGAGTTCACTGGGAAACACGTTAATTTCCTTCACTCAGATGTGGACTAAATTAATAGGGAGATAAGACAGTGAAGCCGTGTCTAATGGTTTTATTTTTCTACTCTCAGGTACTTTGAAGAGTTTGAGAAAAGGATCCCTCGTGCTGAAATGGAAAAGATGGAGGTGATTGCGCTTTCATGTCAATCTGTTATCTTCAGATATATTTTGTGCAGCATAATTAAATCTGCGTGCTGTATAAATCCTAGACCCTGATTCTTGGAGAGTTGCAGAAAATTGACCCTGAATACATCGGAACAATCTGTGGTAGTTACAGGAGAGGTAAAACGTTGCGTCATCGTTCGGTTAGACTACCGCTCAAATAGACTGTTGTTACAATATTCAATTCATTTTTGCTAATTTTCCAGGAGCTGCCTCGAGTGGTGATATTGATATTTTGCTGACTCACCCAGACTTTACGTCTCAGACTGAGAAGCAGGTAAAACTCCATTAATTCTCTCTCATCGACCACTGGTGTGTTTTGGTTTTACCGTCTTCTTTACTCTTTCTAATCATTTCCAGCCCAAACTCCTCCATGCTGTGGTCGATCATTTTGAAAGCCTGGGTTTTGTGACAGACACTCTGTCTAAAGGTGACACCAAGTTCATGGTGAGACCCGTGGCTTTTTTTTCCTATATCACGTGCTAATGGAAATGTTTTTGATGTTGCGATGGCTAACGCAATTAGTACAGTAACTGCACCCAACTCACGGAGCGCATGACTGAGATCACAATGTCCTTGATGTTGTTTTTGTAGGGTGTCTGCCAACTGCAGCAGAGTGATGAAGATGAGGAGGAATACCTCCACAGACGTATTGATATCAGGTGCCTAAATTAATAATGCTGTCAGGAGCTATTTCCTCAGTCCAAAACTATTTTTCTGGGTTGGAACTGAGATGACACTGTTGTGAACAGTCAATCAAATGATGAAACTGTGCTTATAGTTCATACATTCAGCCATGTTTGAAACAACGGGTTTGATGGGCTTAATTTGTTTCACTCTGGTTGAACTTTTTATTTGCATTTTGCCTAAGCCACTGGACACTACTATTTCCCAACAGAGATCAGTAACGTTCTGATCTATCTGTCCCTGATTATCAACCCGTTCCTACCCCACTAGGCCACAGGCTGCCCCGGTAGAACATCCAGTGTAAAAACTCTGTATACACTCACCATACACTCAGTCTGCATCAACTTCATTACATCACTGTATCAAAGACATGTCTTGTGTTTTAGGCATAGATAGTCACCACCTCCCTCTGTAACTTTACTTCACTGGGTGAGAGATGAGGGTTGGGAAGCAGAACTTTCTCCTCATCAGCTGTACCTGGACAATAACTGTCCATTTTCCATTTTTCAAAAGGTTAATTCCCAAGGACCAGTACTACTGTGGAGTCCTGTATTTCACTGGAAGTGATATCTTCAACAAGAATATGAGAACTCACGCTCTGGAGAAGGGATTCACTCTTAATGAATACACCATAAGACCAATCGGGGTCACCGGTGAGTCCTATGACATGAACCCTCTGAACTCACCAACTGTTCCTGCACCATGTGTTGGCCTCACCAGCTTCTTCATATCAACTGTCCATGTCTGTTTTACAGGTGTGGCAGGAGAGCCTCTTTTTGTGGACAGTGAGAGAGACATCTTTGAATATATTGATTACAGATACAGAGAGCCAAAGGAACGCAGCGAGTGATCGGGCGAACGTGCTTCCTGTTTTTACGGCTAAAACTTGAGTAGAGTTAGAATCAGAACTATGTGTAACATGTATCACTTTTATGGTATTGAAAAAAAACAACTATGAAAACGTTTTTACCTGCCTTATCCTGGTGATGCAAATCAGTGTTTGCCAGACTTTTTATCTGGGGACCCATATTTTAAAAGTCACAAACCTTCGAGACCCAAGTTAGACATTATTCGTAAACTCATGGGAAACATGATGTGAGATGACCCAAAAAAAAAATTTCTTGGGACCCAGTCTTTGGGAAACAATGATGTAAACTCTGTGTGCTCCCCAATATTTTTTAAACATTTAAAAAAAAGTCTCCCATGATATGTGACAAAAAACGTTTAAATAATTTAATTCTTGGCTTAACGCCATTGCATTTAATAGTTGATATTTCAGGAACGTCTCGGAACAAAATCATGGCCTATGTGTCTCCTGTTACCGCTGCTTCTCATCTATCACTAGCATGATTCTCCCCACCGCTGTCATGACAGCTGGGATCGTTCATAAACATTTTTAGTTACATGACAGACTCCCTCACTGATTAATGATGGATAAATAATAAAGTCTTAAATAATGGTTCTAGTATCTTGACCTATAGTGTTTTACCATTTTTTCCCCTCTGATTTGATTTTATTCATATTGACATTGATGTGAACAGTAGCTGCTGACAACAGGCTCAGTTTTCACTGAAAAATATTTTAGACAAATCTAAAAATGCCCTTTTTAGTATTTACTGTTTAGAATGACTGTTACAAATTATTTATCATGTGCGATTGTGTGGAGAGGGTGTGAACTGCATGTTGAGCGCTCACAACAGGGCATTTAGGAGTAGAGGTATATAAATGTAACACGTAGTTAACTGTGAGGAAGCTAGTGTAAGCTACAAAACTTGGAGCTGTAGTTTTAAGAATAGTCTGTTTGGTGTTTAAATGCAAATGAAAAAAAAAAAATTCAAAAGTTGTTTTTTTTTAAAGATACCTGTTATTCCTGTGTGAAATGTGTCAAATAAATGGGTGGGGAAGGAAAGTGTCTTGTCATTTTTTCTAATTACATTTCTACAGTACTGCACATTCTGATTGACTCTGTTTAAAATACATTTTAAAAGTAATGTGCCATCATGGAAATTTGTAGGGGTGTGGCCTAAGAGGAGTATTGGAGTGATAAGTTCTGTGGTCAGACACTGAACACAGATCCTTTGTGTTATACGAAGGAGGAGAAAACTGCTTAAGAATATTAGGTGGAAATGTGTGTTTTCATTGAACAGGATGTTTAGAAAATACTAAATAAGTAAAAGGAGGGGAAAAATACATAATAGCCCTTTGTGGTAAACGTTTGTAAATACTAACCTCAGCAGGATTTGTTGTAGGAATGTTGGGAGTTTCCCGTTTTTGGTTTTCCACCAAAAACCCAAAAGGACTTTTGTTGTTTTCTGCTACGTTCTGCCCTAAATGATGTGGATCATATTGAACTGATCGGTGTTTTGTTTACTTTTCATTTATCCATAAGTTTGTTTAAATTTTAATTCCATTTCCTTAAGTCTTAAATCGGTCCTTTATTATTTTTTCCCACGATGCCTTTGAACGTGAATGCTCAAACTCTTAATTAGAATACTTAACAGAAAACATGGAATTCCTATACAGGGACTACTACAGCAGAGGTGATAAAAACGAGAATGGTTAACGAGAATTTTCTTTCAAATAGTTGTATATTATCGTACATTTATAGCTACTAGTTACAATTACGTTTTAAAACAAGAAAAAAGTAAAGCGACCCCCCCGCCCGCCCCACACACACACAAAACCCGCAATTGTATTTTACATCAATTTTGGGGTCCTGTTTTCATCCTGATATTTGGTGACTGCATATCATTCCCTTTTGATATGATTCTTAAAATAAAAAATACGATTATTCTTAAGGGCTTCACAATTGTGTCCCCGTTTTTATGGCCTTAACAATATCGGGTTTCGTCAATTAAAAAAATAAATAAATTGCAGCAACGTCAGTTTTGTAAATAAAGCCACTTTGCTTCGAATTTCTGTGACCACTGCTGTGTTTGTACTGCATTCATTCCTCTACTGTATGTACATAGGTTACAGTAGGTGCCGTCGCCCGTGAAGCTGTTTACTATGGTTACCGTGACAACCGCGAGTCGCGCAAAGCATGACGGTTTGAAATAAAATGCAGACAGAAACAGCAGAAAGACGGGCCGGAACCAGCCAATCAGATCACACCGTGCATTAATATCGACCAATAACATAAATGCACAGCTGCAGCCTCTGAACGAGACACTCACATCACTTTTGTGTCAACCAGTTCGCGGGAGTTGTCGCTACAGCTGCAGGCTTCTGTTTCAAACCTTGAACACCGTCAACGCAACACTAACCGGGTAGGTTCGACGGTTAACGTACGCTTTATTCAACTATGTCTTTTTTACCCTTTGTGAATATATCGTACAATGTGAACTGTTTTCGCCGTATTTTGCAGAATGAATGAGCTGCGGCGCTTCATCGTCTTAGTTGCGCATGTGGCGGTGCTGTTAGCTGCCAGCGCTTCGAAGTCCTCTCTTAACCAAACGTTACGTTATGGTCTGCCAATAGTTTTAGCTTAAAAGTAGATAGCGTTAAACTCATTGACATATCGCAGCAACATTGTTCAATTACTATTATTATTATGTATGTAAAAGATACGAACGTTGACAATTGTCAGTAAAGGCTTGTAAATGCCCTGTTAAAAGTACGCATCGATGCGAACGGTTGTTGTTATGCAACACTTTAAGAAAAGGCAACTTCACGTTTGATTTGGCACATGTTATGTAATAATTTCCACGGTCCGTGAACCAACGGTTTCCTTTATTTCTCTCTACCGGAGTAGAACCCTGGTGCGCGAACATCACATCCAGTGGTTATGTCGATAAGAGGAGGGAAGGATGCTGGGAGTCAGCGTGTGACTGTAATTCTCTCATGTTTTTTTTTTCAGGCATAAACACAGACTCTGTTAAAAAAAACAACACACAATTCCTGAGGCTCTCATTATGATCACGTGATCAGATATTGCATCCGATATCGGCTATCGATGGTCGGACAGATCGATTACAAATTCGCACGCTGTCCTCAACTGGAATAGCTGAAGTTGACGAGTGTATTTGTGATTAAAACGATGCTCTGTGTGAAGATGATGACTAATCTTCCTCTGTTTTGGTTTCCAGAGCAACCATGTCTGACAGAAAGGCAGTGATCAAGAACGCTGACATGTCGGAGGACATGCAGCAGGACGCCGTGGAGTGCGCCACTCAGGCCCTGGAGAAGTACAACATCGAGAAAGACATCGCTGCGTACATCAAGAAGGTACAACTGCAGGCATAACTTTTAAACGATCCCGTGCCAGTGGATTTTATGGGTGTAAATGACGGAATCTCAGAGTAAATGTCCGGTCGCTGATGGTGTTCCACACCCATGCTGGTATTTCCAAAGGAAATGGGCAGCATTCCATATATTCCATGATGAAATTCTTGCTCTGGGTAGGGGAGTCCAGTCAGGGCCTTTCTAGGATCAATACTCAGTTTGTACGAAAAGTTCCAAAAGAGATGATATAGTAGTAGTACATCGAAGAAGTGGCTTTGCACTAAAGTTAAAAAAAAGTGTATAGAACGTTTCAAAATAAGTCCCTTTTTTAGAACTGTAATTACCTTTTTAGCTTCATCAAAATGGATCATAACAAGATGCAAGTTTGTCACAGCTCCTCAGATTACTTGCGCCTGCTGTGATTGACAGATCAGACATGTCTGTCATGGGGTTAAATCCAGATGGGCAGTTAAAACACTCAGTATTAGTAATCATGGCACCAGGTCTAGAACATAACATTTGAAAGCATTTGAAATTTTTTGGGAATTCAACACGCCTTTTTTTTTTTTTTTTTTAAATGTTTCAGTCATTCAATACTTGCTGTTTTTGTTTTTTTGGCTCAGCCATGTATTCTTCCACCAGTGTCTGAGAACAATGTGTCTTTGTCCAAAACACAGGAGTTTGACAAGAAATACAACCCGACCTGGCACTGCATTGTTGGGAGAAACTTCGGCAGCTACGTGACCCATGAGACCAAGCATTTCATTTACTTCTACTTGGGTCAGGTGGCCATTCTGCTGTTTAAGTCGGGTTGAGGGGATGCGCTTTTCCCTCTCCACACCAGCTGACCATACATACAGTACTGACTGAATTGACAAAGGCACTTATCATTCCTTGGCAAGAGGCCGCTGCCTTTTCTGTGCTGCTTTCTACTTGTTCTGTTTATAAGGTTTAAGACAAGCGTGGCTATGTTGAAGAGATAACACTTGTATTTATTTTTGTCTTGTTACGTAACATGTCATTTTTTAATTAAAGCATAGCTGTTAAGCTGACTGGGTCCATTGTCTGGTGTGATTATTTCACCTTTTCTTCACAACACTTCATATAGATCAGGCATGCTCAAACTGTTCCTCAAAGGGCCGTGTGGCTGCAGGGTTTTTGTTCCAACCAACCAAGAGCACATAGTTTGACCTTCAGCTGTCTGAAGACTGAGACCAGTTGATTAAACCTTTCAACTCAGGTGTGCTACTGCTTGCTTGAAACAAAAACCTGCAGCCACAGCAGCCCTTCGTGGAACAGTTTGGGCACCCGTGATGTTTACATGTCTATTCTTTGAGTGCACGGCATGACAGCATGATCATCTTGACATTCCAGGAAATGAGACCCAGACACCTGGAGAATATTCAAGAATGTTGTTGAACAGAATCTGCCCTAATTATACAACGTCCACGCCGATAGTCACATGGTGCATGTGCGAGACAATAATTTCAGGTGTTCCAAAATCATCTTTTGTAGACAATTCCAACTCCATGTAGAAAAATTAGAAATGTAAAGGCTAAAAACAAAATCTTAAGCTAATATTCTATAAAAACAACCACTCAAATGTACGTTGACCTTCATTAGAATATTTTAAATGACATCATTACAGGTATTAAATATCTAGGATTGGACATTATATACTGCTGCTAAGAAAGCCTTCAAACAGTTAGGCAGTATTCCAAAACAAGTTCAGCACAATTCACCTGCCATGTGTCAATGCTTGTTTCAGCCATTATCAATCCAAGTGAGAATTGTTTTTGCAACAACATACATCTGCCAAGTGTGGTACCTTCTCAGACTTGGAAACCCCAGGGAATATTGGCAAATGTTCCAGCCCATAAAAACTGTGCCGGGGCTACATGGTGGAAATGGAAACTTGCCATACAGAAAGGAACACTAGTTTGCGGGTTCCCTGTATTTTGGACATTCCGAAAAGACTCTTTAGACCAAATAAAGAGGAATCAACATCTCCAAACTGTCAGTCAGCACATCCTACAGCCTGCCTCTCTCTACACCACACACTCTGGTTGCACTGCATTGCCTGGAGTGTTCCTGGCAGCATCTAGCACAATAAAGCCAGTCTACTTCTAACATATCAGTAAACTGCCCCCATGGGACAGAAGGCAACTGCACATGGCCCATTCATTAGGGTAGAGGTTGAATGAACAACTTTCATTCAACCCCTTGTGTTTTCTTAAAATCATGAAAGACTGCCTCAACCAACTGTTAGGATCAGCTCCTTGTAACCCAGAGACAGATGAATACAGAAAAACATACAGAAGCTAAAAGGAGCCATAGGTATGAAAGACAACAAACGTCAAAGGTTCACATTAAAAACCACTGCTGTTGCCCAACTCTAATGCAAACATCAGTGCTTCAGCTTTTGACTTTTAAAACATGTACTACTTCAGGTGAGTATTACCTGCATCTACATTACGAACAAACAAGATACGTCATTAGATGGTGGTACTCTTTATTACAACACATTTAGAAAACCAGCTTGTGAGGAAAGACTCCATTTGACAAGAAGAAAGTAGTGCGCAGGTATCCTGACAGCTGAGGTGTTTTCTTGATGAGAGACAGGAGCTGAGCATCGACTGCTTTCTGGTCTGCCTTCCTTTCCTCTGTCAGCTGGTACTTCTGCAAAGACAAATCCCATGATGCACCATTTAGATGACAGTCACAGTTAATTTGAAATCATGTCACAAAAATCAGAGTTTTGTCAGCTCACCTCTTTCTCTGTATCAAAGATTTCTCCCTCCTGGTGACGGGGCTTCCTCAGCTTCTTCTTCTTAAAATAGGCATCGTTGAGATTTTTGGGGACCTTCATGCCAGAGATGTCAACTTTGGTTTTGGTGGCGATGACAAACTTCTGGTGAGCTCTGCGCAGGGGGACTCTGTTCAAAGCAAGAGGGCCTGGAGGAAAAAAAATAAAAAAAATTTGAGCACTTTAAATAATGTGTCCTATAGTTACTGGCGCTGATGTTTGTGTATACATTTTCACCACCAACACTTTACGCACCAGTGACAAGCAGGAGACCACTGGCAAGCTGCTTCAGAAACACCACACGCTAGGGTTAAAAAAAAAAAAAAAAAAAAAAGAAATCCAGTTAACAGTTTCACAAAAGCTGCATTCACCAGTTTATGTCCAGGTACAACACTGAAATACATTTTATATATATTTTACAAATGGCCTGAACAATTCTTTCTTCTCAAAATTCTTTGAACACAAAAATATAAATCCTGACATTTCAATATTAGTGAGCGGAAAAAACTCCCTACATAATAAAGTGTGTGGGCAAACAGTACATACTTCAATTGAGCTGTACAACATTTCAGAGTAGGAGTGACAATGGCTGCAGTCCCTGGTTTGCAATTATTCCAATATTGAACTTATAATGTGTCCTCGTTCTGATTTTTTATACGCAATTACAAAAGCCTTTCTCTGGTCTTTATCCATTTTTTAAAAATGTCCTCACTGAAAACAACAAAAACAATTGAGCTTCCTTTTTACATGATTAACTTTGAGTGTGTGGTTTTTGCTAGACTGCAGTACAGTCTGGAGTAGGTTTACAACATTCAATGTTGAATTTTTATTTTCTATCATGGATGGATGCAAAAAGCAACATTAAGTATGATTACAGTTCCTTTAATTTTATATAAAAAAAAAGGTTGTCCTCTCCCAAGAAACTATTGGTTTGGGTAATTTTGCATTGTTTTTTAAAAGATTTTCTTCTTTACAACATCGGGCTGACACCTGTTGACATCAACACTGACAATCAGCCTTTCGGACCCCAAAAAATATCCACAGAACAGTTGCTAAGCTGATCCAATATGATAAACAACAGCACCTGTTAATTGTCATGCCCCTCCCTTCAGCTCACCTTTCCACGGTGACGACCAGTGAGCAGGATAAGTACAGTTCCTGGGGTGATGGAGGAGCGGAGGTTCCTCTTGTGTTGACAGAAAGGCTTTTTCCCATGGCTTTTCAGTTTGCGGGGAACATCCTCTGTGGGGTAGTAGCGGGGCTACAAAGAAACAAAAATGTTGATATTTCACTTTGGTGTGTCACCTTTTAAGTCAAACAAAAAATGACCAACTGGTTCCAATCTGGTAATAATAATATTTACTTTTTTTGTTTACAATATAATACCTCCGCAGGACTTAAACAAGCATTATGAGGCAATGTCAAACCTATGGTTGTATTACTTCCTCTTTGGCTGTGTGTTGAACCTTTATGACAGTATGCCTACCCTGACGTCTTAAATTGTTTTTTCTCAAGTGCAATTTAATGTTCAATGAAATAATACTGCTTGACTTGCAACATGGGAAAACCAACAATTATCGTTATTTTAGACCACAAAACTTCATGTTTAATATGGTCACATTTGTAGCTCTAACAGCAAAATTACTTACCAACTTGCGCAGCTTGACAACACGAGTGCCTCCATTTTTGTCACCTCCAACAGTCTTGACAACAGTAGCCTTGGGCTTCATTCTGAGCTTTTTCTCAACCTGAAACAAGGAAAAAAAATTAGAATAACTTCCATTTAGTCAACTTGTCACATTTGACTTGATATTAAACTCACCTTGGTTTCAGTTGTCTTGGTCTTGCGCTTGTACATAGCCCGTCGGGCGTACATGGCAGAGCGGGAGTACCGGCCAATACCCCGGGCCAGAACCGGGTTTCGACTCCCATGCCTTTTCTTGGCAGACTTCTTGTCTCCCTCTGCCATCTGAAAACAAGAACAAAACAAAAAATGTTTCCAGGGTTTGAGTGAATTAATGAAAACGAAGCATTTAGGTAAAGTACAGTATACAACAGCATTACAATCTCAACTTTGACTCTACAACACTATGTATTCGGTCCAATGCAAAAAGAAGAAAATTTGGGTTCACAGACAAACATTACTATACAAGTGTACAATGGGTATAAATATGCAACGTAATACTAGTGCAACATTTATTCAGGAAGACTAGTAAGCTGCGAGTTGAAGATCGTGGTTATCGGCAAGCAAAGGCATGTCAAATATTGTTAGCACTGGGCTAATTATTGACAGTACGGTCGCTTAAATAGCAGACAGTCATTGTATTACAGATACACAGACTTCACCATTTTAAGCAATGTTTTAAATTACAACCGTAGTGAATTTCAAACAACATAAATGAAACATAGAGCGACACGTTTTAGCCTGTTAGGTAGCATTACGTGTAACGCTAAAGCTAACCGGCGGCCTAGTGTAACCGTTTTACTAACTGTTCCGTATTTTAGGCTAAATTATAGAAAATCCAACGCAATATCGATGTCTAGCCTTTTATATAAACAAACCCTTTCATATCCATACATTTGTGCACATTATGTATGACTGTAAAACAACGATGAATATAGATTGTATTCCCACTCGTTCACGAAAGCGAGGCAAGCTTACCGTAGCTATGAAAAAAAGACCGACATCCGGGGATGTTACGGTTATATTGACGCCGGAAGATGACGATGGCGTCATTACGCAGCGTAATGACGCCATCGTCATCTAACTACAATGACGATGAACTACAATGACGCGTGGCCATTGTAGTTCCAAATACACGTTTTCTTATCAGTTACACACAAAAAGAAGCTTTTTATCAGCGGTTATCACATATGTAATAATTGGTTTTAATAATGAACGATATAAATGTATACATATATATATGTATGTATATATATATATATGTACAAGTACCCAGTTACAAACATCCCAAAAAAAGATTACTGTTATTTGCGCTTAAATGCACTAGTTTTGGTGTATACTAAGACATTTACTGAAGTAGAATTTTGTTTTTGTTGTTTTATCATGTTAATCTTTTTTATTTTTTATACCCCTTTTACAGCAATATACTTCCAACCACATGTGATATGACTTATATTGATCTGACACAATAGTCTAAGCTGTCGTTGGACTCATGATCCTAATTCTTATTGTTTCAGTCTCTTATGTAAGAAAGAAAACACAAAAATATTTTAGTAAAACAAGTATACAAACTCCGTACTAAAAGAAATCTCAGCATGTTCATTTCAGCTATCTCCAACTAAGTTTATTTTATCCCCCCTAAATCAACTATTTATTCCTACATGACAACATCAGCAGTAAAACTAAAACCAGTCCTGGTAAAATCTAGCCCAAAAATAATCTGGAGACCTTGAGGATTTATAGAGAATTTTTTTTATTAAATCCAGTTGTAAAATCATCGTTTTTGTTTGACACAGAATTACAAAATCATTTTAGCTGGACTCATCATAATTCAGATGCAATGTGTTGCATCGAGAGGCGTGGTAGTCATCATTTAAGGCAAAAAAAAAAATCAGAATTTTACACTTTTTCTTAACCTTATTCCAATGCTTCCTGTTATTATATACTTATTAGTATTGATGTTAATGTGAATTGTAGTAACTTTTTATATCATGAGCATTCTGGCACAACAATCAGAAGCACTCTTATTTTTATTTTCACAGTAATGTAATGTTTTTTCTTCTTTTAAATAAATTGAAAACAATTACAAGATGACAGAAAGGCATTGTTACATGTGTGAGGTTCAGAGATGGGACCAAATTATTGTTTTGCAAGTCACAAGAAAGTCTCAAGTCTTTGCCCTCAAGTCCCGAGTCAAAGACTGACAAATCACAAGTCAAGTCATGGGACTTATGGGACACCTATAGTGAGCACTGGATCATGGTATGAATTCATCATCTCCAGCTCGTCTGAATTTCTCTCATACTGGCAGGTTCCTGTTTTAGCATTTCTCTAGGACAATGGCAATGCCCTGACCACCTCCGATGCAGGCAGAGCCGACAGCATATTTTCCTCTGCGCCGTCTGTCAGACAAAAAATGTTGTTACTCAACAAAGTGTCACACGATCGATGAATTGGAGGTGACCAGGTCTTCTAGAACAGTGTTTCCCAAACAGTTTCTGGCGAGCCATACTTTAAACATCACAAAGCTTTGCGACCTAAGTCAATAGTCATTATTTGTAAACTCCTGGGAAACTGATGATTATGCGAGAATGATGCAACCCTTGCGACCCACGTGAGGGCCCGACTCAGTCTTTGGGAAACAATGTTCTAGAGACTTTAACTAGTCTCCCATTGACTTTTACATTGAAACCACCACTGTAAAAAACACAACTATTTCACCTGAGCTCATGAACCAGGTGAGCAGTGATTCGAGTTCCAGAAGCACCAAGAGGATGTCCAATAGCAATAGCACCGCCATTAACATTGCTTTTCTCAGGATCCAGTCCAAGAGCCTTAGCAACAGCCAGGTACTGAGGGGCAAATGCCTCATTCACCTGTGGACAGAGGAGGACACCAATGATGTAATACTGATGGATGACAGTTTTGTTGTTCTGTGTTGGTTATTTATCCACTGTATTAGGAGTTACCGAACCTCTACAAGATCCATGTCGCTGAGAGTCAGTCCGGCTTTCTTCAGAGCTTCAGTGACCGCGGGGACAGGACCTTAGATGTTCAGAGCAAAACCAGACACTATTACTGTCAACGTCGCAACAATTTGTTCCTCATGTTTTCCCTAAAAGCAATGTCGGATTTTGTCTCACCGATTCCCATGATGCTTGGGTCACAGCCGGACGAGTGGTAGGACACGATCCTGGCCAGAGGAGTGAGTTTGTGCTCCTTCACAGCATCTTCACTGGCAATGATGACTGCGGCAGCGCCATCAGACACACCCTGCAGATGAAGGACAGGCGTGCGAGTGACAGCTGCACATTTTCTGCATTTTTAACAAGTAACTGATACATATAACTGTATTGTGAAGTTTATCGGTTCAACAAGTTTTATCTTGTCAATGATTCTTTTATCTTCCAGATGTGAACTCTCTCATATTCAGGATATAACAAGTCACTGGTGATTGATTGGATTTGATTGATTCATAGTGCATGTCGTTATTGTTATTTTCTATGATCGTATTAACCTTTGAAAAGATAAAAATGTGTTCTGAGAAATAAACTATATACATATATACACATATATGAAAGAAAAAAACATAAATAAAATAAATTATAGGTGACCCAGAAAAATAATCAGATATCTTTACATTTATTTCACAGTGTTGTCGTACTGCTACTCGCAAAACACCTACTTAAGAAATGTGATTAACACAAAATTAATTGAATAATAAAATATGTTTTTGTAGGCTGTGTCCACGTTTCTAAAGAGTGATTTGACTGGAAAGTTAGTTATTTATTATTAGTAAAATAAATTAATCAAATCCTACTAACTGCTTATTTTCATGTGATTCTTTTTAACAGCAATTTATAATTATTTAAAATAATTAAAAAAACAATCAAAACAGGCCTTCGCTGACAAATCTAAACCAAATGAATGTTTTACCTAAAAGGGAAATGATTACCAAAGGTAGTTGAGAGGTAGTAACAACTTGGCCTTTGACTCACCGAGGCATTGGCAGCAGTGACTGTTCCTTGCTTCTTAAAAACGGGAGCCAGTTTTGCCATTTGTTCCAATGTGGTCTGAGGCCGAGGGTGTTCGTCGTGAGTCATGGGAACCTTTCCCTTCTTAGCTTTTACGTCAATGGGGGCAATTTCTTCTACAAAGTGACCAGCCTCATGAGCTGTATGAGGAAAAAAGGTCATCATTTGGTCACGGCAGTCTTTGCAGTAATTGGCTGATTTTACAAAAACAACACCAACAACATAATAAACACATGGAAGAGTGGCAAGTCAATGAAGACGACGACTGATCTCACCAGCCTTCCACCTCTGTTGTGTCTGATATGCGTAGTTATCACAGTCTTCTCGGGTGATTTGGTATTTCTCTGCTAGGTTTTCTGCTGTCATGCCCATGGGGATTTTTATATGGGGGTCAGTAAGACCGGCCCACAGAGTGTCCTCCAGCTACAGTGGGGAAAAAGTCAAAATGCTGCATTAGACAAACACCCGAGTCAAGATTTAGGAGACAAAAAGAATAAAAACTGACAAAACGCCAACCTTTAGATCAAATCCAAACTTAGTTCCAAATCGAATGTTGCGAACAGCGTACGGTGCCTGACTCATACTCTCAGAGCCCCCACACAGGACCACCTCGGACTCCTTCAGACAGATCTCCTACAAACACACAGTTGAAATGCTTCTTTTTAAACAGTTAGTCCAATGGTCATACAGAAGCTGAGCTTCAACCCCTGATCCCTGAGCCTCAACCCCCAGTAAAACCTGGATTGGGTTGAAGAGACATTTTTGCTACTTTTATCAGATTTTATCAGATTCGTGATATCTCTATATTCTCATCTTATATAGTCATTTTATTTGAACACATTTAGTTTATAGAAATGGATAAAGACTGAAACTGGTGATTTATTCATGTTGTGTCAGTGCAATCATAATCTGTATTTAATGGTGAAAAGCACAAGTTTTATAAAAAGCAAATCAATGTTTCCCAAAGACTGGGTCACTCAGGTGGGTCACTAGAGATTTTTTTGGGTCGTCTCGCATCATGTTTCCCAGGAGTTTACGAATAATGTCTATTGACTTGAATCGTGACGGTGGGTGACTTTTAAAATACGGGTCCCCAGAAAAAAAGTTTGGGAAACACTGGGTTAAATCCCCTTTTTATATATGGGCAACTCAGTCACTGATCCAGTGTAATCAACATAAACATTGACCAAAGTATGAGTTAACTCTTACCTGAATTAAACTTACAGTCTAAAGATATTGATTCAAATCTATGGATTTTATGCTTTTCGTATCTTTTATTTATCCCCTGACTTACGGCTCTGGCTGCGTACTCACCTGAGCACCACTGACAATGGCCTGAAAACCAGATCCACACAATCTGTTCACTGTAAGTGCAGGCACTGGAATTGGAACACCACTCCTCAGACCCACGTGACGAGCGATGTAGATGGCGTCAGCTGAGCTCTGAAAAAAAAAAAAAACCACAATAAAAGATGACAGATGTCAGTACGTACACAACATTTTTATAATGCAGTTAAGATCGTAACAATATTCACTAGTTTCTTACTTGCATGACACTTCCCACAATAACACTGTTTATCAGCTCTGGTGCCACACCCCCTGCAGCCAGGGCAGCTTTGGCTGCATGCTCTGCTAGGTCTGTTGCACTGTGATCCTTCAACACGCCACCGTAGGTGCCAAATGGAGTGCGCTTAGCAGCTACGACAAAAACACCTGTAGAGAAAAAGAAGAAGAGACATGCTGTAGAAATGAAAGGCACAATTGTTGGGGCTGCACAATATGTGGGAATTTAAGTAAATGTCACAAAATAATATATATTTTAGGCATGTCCGATAATATCAGCCCGATATTAGCATAATTATGTAATATCTGTGAGAATCGTTATGGGTTTTTCCTCCGATATTGAAAACCCAATAACGCAATAACGTCTGGGTTTTTGCTAATTGATGTGACCTAAAAATAGTTTTAGGGATAAATGGCTGCATATCAAAGTGAAAGTCACCAAGTGGCAGCATTGCAACTCCATTTGCAACTTCAATTAATCGATTTTATTAATCAGGGGATTGTATGCAGAATGCCAGCAATTCATACAGTGGTTTGTACAAATAAATAAATAAATATTTTTTTTACCAAGCCGATACAATGGTATCAGTTGATATCAAAATCAGAAAGTAAGTGTTTGGACATACCGTAGACATATTAACAAATAGTTAATAAGGTAGTTAGTATACATACCTAGTATACTTCCTCACAAAAACTTCTGACGATCCTGTGGTTTAATGTGTGTAAAGCCTTAATGGTGAGTTTTTGTCCAGTTGTTAATTAGAAGTAAAAAAAATAAACATGGAGATATGCATGATGTTATGTTACGTTAGTCAGACTGGGTGTTTTATATAAACCACCAAAAATAATACTTAAAAAACACTAACTCAAGCAGCGATAGTGTGTAAAAAAAACAAAAATAATACGTGTACATAATTGGTATTTTAGAAAATTAAAAAATCTGCAAAAACTATTCTAAAATATTGATAATGATCACTTTGTGACTCATTCGTTTGCCTAAGTGAGAAAAACTGCCAACATAATCCTACAGGCAGAAGGCGTGTTGCCTTTGAAATGCTGTGGGGGTACGTTTGTTTTCTCAGCTTAGGAAAACGGACAACTTTACACAGAAAGGTTAACATATATTGCTGTAAGTGTATAATGATGCACTGTAATTCAAAGTGATAAAATAAATTTAGCATTTTAAAAGATAACTTACAACAATCAGTATATAGCGCATTGTCCATCTGCATAGAGATCTGTCACCTTTCACCTACATAACACTGACGACATGTTCACACGCTCCAGACACGAAATTTTCAATTAGAAAGGCTTTAACTCATCGTGTTTATCTGCAGAGATGTTAGATTTATTATGCAATGATGTAATTTTAACACGAAGTGTGTAAACTGACACCGCTTTTGTCAACGAGCCTGCTGGCACAAGAGTGAAGCTTACCTCTGAGAAGTGCCATGATGCTGATTCAACACCACACTGCGGTCCGACACTGATATAGATGTTGGTTTCACCCTGATCCCACGCCAAAGTCAACAAAAAAGAAGTCCGGCTGCTGCGACCTCTCGCCTCAATAATGCTGGAGCTCTTCGTCCTCTTCAGCTCCGTCTTCTTCTATGGGTCTATACAGCAGTAAATTTCCATCTACTGCCCCCCTCCGGGATCTGAATGAACTTTTTTTTTATTCCCTGACTACTGTTTGCCAGTGCTTTTCAAACTGTTTACCTGTTATACTACCTTCGATAATATTTCAAGTAGCATCGGTATGGTCGCCATTGACATACATATAGCTAAGCACAGTATATGGAAAAAATGAATTTGTTCCTCGGCGTTAGCCCATGTAGCAGCCAAGACACTCTAGACCCAGGGTCACCTACAATTGGGAGCTACTTCAAGAGCAATACAAAGAGCAATACAAAGAGCTACTTGTTTGAAACCGACTTCCCGAACAATGTAATAATAATAAGGTCTGGGACATACAATAGTAGACAAAACTTTTTTTTTACTTAGTATAATCTTTTTGGGCCAGACGTTTAAAAAGATTTAGTATTTAGTATTTCTTCGTAAATTTAAGGACTAACTTTATTATTTTTGTGAACTATTTAGTTTTACTTTCGGTATTTACTTTCGCATTTAACAACAAATATGAGACGCAATTAAGTGAATTTTATGAAAAAAATGGACCTTGCGCCATGTGACGTCATCAACCTGTGTCACTTCTCAGAACACTGAAGCAAGGGGACGACACGGCACAAGGTTTACTGTGTACATGTGAGCCGATGTGATTATCTGTATTTCTTGAGTGTGCGTTTTTACTGAGACCATACACAGAAAAAACATGTCTCTGGCTCTGTCGCGATGCCTCTGCAGGGTTTTGTCCCGACGGAGAACCGCGTCTTGGTAAGATTCTATTGTAAGGAAACGATAGCTAGCCGAAGCTAGCATAGCTAAAGGTTACTCTGTGGATAAGTGACAGCAAGGTGTCGTGTGGTGGAAAAACACATTGTGAATCCTTGTTTGTGTTTACAGCGTCCCGTGCGGAGAACATAATCATGTAGTCAGCATTAGTCCTTGGTTTTCTCCAGTGATGACTTTAAAGACGACAGCTGCACTCAGGTATGGGTTAATTCAACAACAATCTGCAGAAACAATCGTCCCAGGAATAGTCAAAGTATATTCAGCTTGCTTTAAAAAGAATATAGATGGACATTTTCAAACACGCATTTTCAAACACCCTGCAAACATATTAGGAGAGTCATTGGTCCTACATTATGACCTCTGTGTTATGTTCCTAGTGCAGAACCACGGAAAAAGAAGAAGGTGGACCCTAAACGTGAAATTATGGCAAGAGAACGTCTAAAGAAGAAATTGAAGAAGATGGAGAAGGTTGTACCTGAATTAATCCCAATAGAAGATTTCATTGTTCCAGTCAAGTACATGGATGAAACAAGGTAGGAATAATAATAATTTACTGTTGTTTTTAAATGAATGACTTATGCACTAGTGAGTTTTTGATGAAATAAAAATATATGGTTGGGTTTGGATGTCTGTCCATCTCTGAGAAAGTCCCCTATCTGTGTATTATTTCCCCCATGCGGTGCTTTCAATGAACATCCATTTGGATACTGACATTTTATTTCAATTTGTGTTTGGATTTGCATCTCCTAGAATACGCTCGGAGCCACATTTGACATTTGAAGAAAAGGAGCGCCGAGCCCTGTTGCTGAAGGAGTGGAGTCTATACAAACAGGTCACCACTTAACATCTCACTCTTATGCAACCTCCATTACTGAGGTTTTCAGGGAGAATGCTGCTTCTAACCTCTGCTCTCATCCAAAGCTGACATGGGCTTAATTACCACTTTCTTACAGAAGCAGCATTTGGATGAAGTGAACGCTGTTGATGTTGCTCTTGAAGCACAGAGAGAAGCACTGGAGGAACTGAGGCTGGAGTCAGAGGAGCTGTACCAGGCGGCACTGACACCAGACCCACTGTTGTTCCCCTTTAGTCGTGAAGGTCCTGCCTACACACCAGCAAAGACCAATTATGATGCACCTGACGGGAAATACAATGACATCACTAAAGTTTACACTCAGTGATGGAGAGGAACAGAATGCGGTTGAATGTATCTGGAATAGTGTGTGTTTTTGTATATACATGTTCAATAATAATACATTTACAGCTTTTCTTTTTTTAAATGTCACTTTGAGAATATTAGACATCTATGTTCTTCAATTTCTCCGATTTACACCAATCATGGCTGTGACAATATAATTGTTTTTCCATTTCATAATCTCTATGTAAAATTTGGCAAAAACCCCCAAACATTTCCCCTAATTATTTTTGGACTACATTATTTTTAGGTCGTCAGTTTAATAATATAGAAAATAAGAAAAACCAAACAAGCCCAATAATAAACATCACTATGAAAATTCACAACGTTGCATTATTGACAAATGGTGTTCATCTTTGTAAAACATACTTCAAAATAAATGTAGTGTTTTTGTTATTTAATATTTTTTTGCATTCAGTTACATTTCAAAATTTATACACATTTGTCTTCATATTCAAATGCCAGTTGATCTCTGTCAATCCCTGGCTAGTTAGGTTGGTTTTAAAATCTCCCAACACTCAGGTATGTGCCAAAGTACTGTAAATGAACAGGAAACATCTCAACAAAAAAAACAATTATTGTTATAGAACAAACAGTCTCTTCTGAATGCAGCAAAAACATATTTGAATATTTGTCCATGAAATCAGTCACTGGTGTTTGGTTCAGAGACAACTGGTTTAAATCATGCACGTTTCACGAGTCCGTAGGCTTCTCTTGATTAAGGGGCATATTCCAATCCTTTGGAGGCTCTTGTCTAAGTTGCCACACTGGAGTGAATTTTTTCTGCTCTGCCACTCTGTGCCGTTCACTCCTTTGCAAGGCTTCCTGTAGCAACAGATTGAATTTAAAAATAAAATTAGCTCATTCCTCTCATCAAATTAAAAGCAGCACTTTCCTAATCGTAAAATATCTTTTTTCTTTCGGCTTTGTCCCTTTTTTTTTTTTTAGGGGTTGCCACAGCAGATCATTGATTTCCATCTCTCCCTGTTCTCTGTATCTTCTACTCTGACTCCAACTATCTGCATGTCCTCCCTCACTACATCCATATATCTCCTCTTTGGCCTTCCTCTCTTTCTCCTACCTGGTAGCTCCATCTCTAACATTCTTCTACCGATGTATCCACTGTCCCTCCTCTGCACATGTCCAAACCATCTCAATCTGGCTTCTCTAGCTTTTTCTCCAAACCGTCCTGTCTGTGTTGTCCCTCTAATGACCTCATTCCTGATCCTAACCTTTACTAATCGTAAAATATATGAATGTCAATAGATTTTAAAACTGATATACTGTTTTTTGGAGGAAACTGAATAATCTGACCACATTGCAGGTGAACATCGCACAGTAATTGTTACAAACAGCAGTAAACAGGTGTATCATACCTTAGCTTTGACGTCTTTGAGTGTCTCCCACGCAACGCAGTTGTTGTAGTCCTCCAACCACTGAGGGCATGATGGTAATGTACCATAGGTGTAATAACAATGGAAACGATTCAGAAAGCTTTTACAATGTCTGTACTCGCTCCAGTAGTCAGAGCATACCCGAGGTGGCTGTACAAATGAACAAAAGCAGAAACCGTCAAAAATAAATCACTATAGCTAAATATAAAATAATAAAATAATGCAGAGCAATAATTTTAATAACAGTATTTTCTGTGCTATGCATTTATCTTGGGCTCGTATTTAATTGTGTTATACACAAAAAATAGCTAATAGAAAATATTTACATACACATAGAAGTTCTATGTGGGAAATATTTCGTTATTTATAGTTTGGATTTTAAAGACAAACTTAATTTGTAACTTCGGTACAAAAGGTAAAGGCATAACTGCGTATCCTTAAAGAATTTGTCCTGGCCATGCAAATGTGATTTTTAATGAAAACTGCAACCAACGGTTTTTGTAATAAAGAAAATCCCGTCTGACATTGACAAGGTAGCACACCTAGCTAAAAATGCTCTGTTGTCATCTAGCTTATAGCCAACCATCCTGCTGACTGTCTGGTTTGTGTAAGGTATTTACAATACAATACGTCATTGTAATCAAGTGTTTTAAAAATTAAAAAATATAATACGTATACTTGGATAATGAAAATGTATGCTGCATGATATTATAATTACCCTCCAAGGCGTATTTTCGGTCTGATCCATTGCTAATTCTATTAGCGGAAGCTTCGACGAGACAGACCTTCCGGCAAACTTTCAAAGTAAACCAACAGCCATAATTGTCGCCTTTGTATGTAGTTTAATAAATTCAAAATAAACACGCCGCTCAGGAGCTATTCTAAAAACTGCCGAGAAATAAAAAAATACAATTGAGAGGTAAAGCAGTATCCAAATAGACAATTCTGATACACAAGTACCAGCAACTTTTATTTCCTAAATTTCAATGGAGTGTAAGTTAGTTGTGATGGTCCCCAGTTTAGATGTTTTCCCAATATGTGTGTGGACTATTCATAAGGGCTCCAAATTGGGTGGTAGAGGATTGAATGCATTGCTTTTTAATTTCTCCAATGTCTTCAATTATTATTAGCATCTTCTTCATTAATATTGCCCTTTAAACAATAATCAAAAATATATTTAATGACAAAGTCTAAGGATTTTCTGTTTGTCTAGTGACTTGTGAAAACAGCATCACCAGTAGTAATATTTGTCTTGCAGAAACCAACTTGGATTTATTTATAAATATACCAGGGGGATTCATCCAATTTCTAAATGGAATAAGAGGGAAAAAAATAACAACAATAAAACAAATGTATGTATGCAGTTAATATGAAGGGAAAAAGCATGTTGAAACTGTGAAAAGCAGTAAAGTCAACTTGAAAGTCAGATATAACAACAGAATGTGATCTAATCTACCAAGCTCAAATCAGTCAACATCCACATCCGTAGACTTAATTAAAACTGACAGTGTTCTTACGAAGCCCATGTTCTGTGGAGTAAAGCATTACTGTCAGAACTTTAATTACAGACTTTTCCAATTCCAGCTCCACAGCAAAACATCAATTTTAAAATGACAAAGAGGAAAAATCCGCAGTGCATTAAAAAAACATTTTGCAGTCGAGCTTGTGCACATGAGCAGCGACCTCACGCTTCTCAAGGTTTTCTGCCTTTTTTGCGTAGCGACTGCCCTTGTCCAGAAAAGGCGATGAATCTGTTCATAGCATCATCCTGGGAGGATTACAGGAGATATCCAAATAATAATTGAAAAAAAAAATGAATGTAGATAATCAATTAAACAACACCAGTACAATTACCAGAACTTATAATAATATACAACAAATGCACAATAATAAAAAAAAGTTTTTAAAAAATCTTACGTCATCTGCAGTTTTCTTAGGCTGAGGCTTGGAGTTTCGTATGAATGTGATCCTACCGACTTTAAAGTCGTAGTTGGGAATGCCTCTGTGATAAAAGATGAAACAACGTTGGTTATGATCACTGCTGAGCTCTGAAATACAGTTAAAATTTGTTTTGTTTGAAGTGAATTGAGATTGATATGTTCATACATATCAATCTCAATTACAAAATATGTAAAGGCATAATATACATACTACTGTATATATCATGTCCACATTGATGGAACAGCTTTTCACCTTTTAATGTCACTGGGGCAGAGGGGTGCAGGGCTGGGTTCGATGCCTTTTGTTTTACCATCCAAACGATTTCCAGAACCAGAGAAAGCCTGAGAACCAGAAACAAATGTTCAATTATAAAGACCATAGTGATCAGTTAGATCACATCTAGATGTGATTTCTAAGGACAATTACCCTAAACCCTGTGTCCATATCAGCATAGTTGTTAGATTCTTCTGCTTCCTCCTGTGTAGAAATGTACAGTTATTTTCACAGCTAACACAAAATATACGCTTCATTTCAGGGTTTGGTACTCACAGTAGGTTCTTCCTGGTACTGAGGTCGTCGCTCTGGTTCTTTGTAACCCAGCGGAGCATCAAAATCAACCTAACAAACGAAAGTTAACACACAATTCATAAAAATGTTTTTGTTAGTGTCTGTGATTTAAAAAAATAAGGTCTTACGTTCATATCACACTCTATAATGGATACTGCTTTGTCAGGCTTTGTCTCCATCACTCGCAGCTCATATATCTGAAAACCAAACAAAAAAAAACCAAACAAACACATGTAGTGTTTCTCCATAAAAGATAACAACACAAATAATGATATATTTATTAATAAATTAACCATTTACCTTTTCATTGTAGCTGATTGCTATGACATCACCGGTTGTCAAGCATGCAAAGTTTCTTAATGCATTCTCCAGTCTGTAGAAAAGTCACAAATTAGTAAATGATATACAGAAATAAAAGGTTATGAGTAAATTTCCCAGAGAAACAGTGACATTTCTTACACTGCCTTTGGGTTGGTAATGTCAAGGAAATCAGGACTCTGTGGCTGGAACTTTGAATAAGTAGCAACCATAAGATTAACACTTTCCACCTGGACCAGACCACCTTCTTCCAGCAGCAGATTCTGCATCATCTGCAGATGACACAGAACAGTCATTAGAACTGCAAAGAAAAATAGATCAACGTGTAGGTTTTTTAAAATTATTCATAACAATCGCCTTTATGCTTTTACCATTTGCTAAAAAGTAAATAATGGGAAACAAGATTGCGTTTTGTCTAACTATTTTTACCCAGTGTGGTAAGTAACAAATTCCCTCGTCTGCCACAAACTCCAGAACACCGCAGTGTGTCATTCTGTCAGAGTTTTTGTTGGTCAGCTTGAACAACATTGGGTAGGTGATATTGAGTCTGCCTGGAAAGACGAATAGTGTAGGATGGCGTCAAACATGAAGCATACATGAACAAACAGAGATTAAGACTTAAGATGCACTTACTGAGCTGGTCAAGAGCTGAAGGCGGCATTATTACTGTAAACAAAGAAAAATAGTAGTAAATCTTGTGAAAAAAAACTAAAACATTGCTGTTATGAAAAGCTTAAAAGCACACATGGTAAAGATATTTTTCTTTATATTTTCTTTTTTTGTAAAACACTTACTTTTAGACAAGCCTTTAAAGTTACACTGTCCTTATTAACTTACTAGTGATATCATGTCATATGGTTTGTTTTGTTTTTTTCATGGAGCTGTGTCAATAATGTAAAGGCAGTAAGATCAGCCTGTTAAAAACAGTAACTGTGGTAAAATGTGATAGAGTCTAGTCACAGCATCTGGGTCCTGGTTCCAGGAGAATCTAGAATATTTGAAATACTGCACAAACAATGGCAGGAGTTCTGAAATCCCCATGCTGATTATTGTCATGCAAACTTTTAACAATCCCTTGGATGGTTAAGGCAAATATTACTTTACAACGAGATCCTTGTTGAGATACAACGCCTTAACAGAGGAACTAACACTCTACTGGTTTTGTCAAATCTCTTTAAATGTTTATTTGTGTTTGAAACATATTTGCGTTGTCTTGCATAAAAACTCACTTTTGCCTCCCTTCTCAACATCAGAGCGGTCGTTTGGTCCTGCCAGCATGGACACCGAGTAGCAGCGGTACTGGGTGGAGAAGCGATTCTGAGGACCCCGGACCATGGGGTGGTCGAAAACATTAAAAGAAAACTGTACGAACAAAGCAAATAACATTAATGAAGTGCATATTGCTCTGGTGTTTTCCGAAAGGTTGGAGAGGTCGGTTCGTTTCACCATGACAGAGCATCTTTCTTTCTGTCATGTTGTTGCTATTGGCGTACGGCAGGGACTATTTGTTCATTTACAACCTAATATTAAACAAAACAAAAAAAAAAGTTTCCATGTACTCACCATGTTGACGCTTGATGTTTCGATCCCTTAAACGAAATGTCTCTTGTTTTATTCCCTTTTTAAAATGTCAAACACAACCCGAGAGTTTATTGACTGTTGTCTTCCGCTTCTTCCGGAAGTGTTGGCTCTGACAGAAGGAAGTAACGTCACGAATGACGCAGTCTACCGTGTCTGTTTTTTAAGAACGTTCTACATTTCTTAAATTTATTTTTAGCGGCTGTTTCATGTCAATACGAGCAATATTGAAAAGGTGTCTTATTAAAAATACTACAAAAAAGACAACATATGACTGTAAGGCGTGAGCTTGATTAGAACGCCACCGTGTGGTACTACACATTTATGACGCAGGGCCTTTGATCCTTTGAAGTGAGAACGCGCTTTTACGTTCTAAAGGCTTTTGAGAAAAGAAAAAGATGCAAAGACGAAAGAAAGTAGCTGAAAAGCTCTTGAATCAACAAGCATAATCTTCTCAGGACTCAGTTTGCATCTTTGACAAAAGAAGAAAAATAAACTGCAAGTATGATATCTCCACTGTCTCCAGACATTACCAAAAAGACAAAGTTTACGTGTCCGAAGATTTTTCTCATCTCCTACAGCGTTATATTCTGGCTTTTAGGCGTGATCTTGTTGGCAGTGGGGGTGTGGGCGAAAGTGAGCCTCAACGCCTATGATTTTATGATTTCAGAAGAGTCCACCATTGCATCATATGTCCTCATTGGTACGGGGGCTGTAATTGTTGTATTTGGACTGTTTGGTTGCATTGCCACATGCAAGGGCAGCCCCTGGTTGCTCAAAATGTATGGCTTCTTCTCGATGTTGGTATGCCTGGCCATGCTTGCTGCGGGCACCTCGGGTTTTCTCTTCAGACCTAAGGTCAGAAACACGGTGGCCAATTTCTTTACAAAAGCCGTGAACCACCACAGCACCTCCGACAGCGTGAGCACTTTAGTGGACACCATGCAAAGGAACTTACAGTGCTGCGGGCAGCTAAATTTTGGCGACTGGAGTTACCTAGATGAC